TGATCAATATTTCTTAATTGAACAGTTTTACCCGAGTTGGCGAATGAGTAAAAAAAAATGTACCTTAGCGCGCTTCTTCGCACTCCTTCTTGTTCACCGCCTGTGTGTCCACCACCAAACATGAGCGCGCGCGTCACAATTTTGGTATTTCCTGGGAAAGCATGGACGATCCGATCATACTTCGGTTAGTTCACACACGAGCGAGTATCCTTTGCGAGTGTCCAAGGAAATTCCCGTATTAACCGCTCTTTATAAAGTACGCGGGATTTTACGGGTCGCCATGAACGCCATGAGACGCGCGCGCGCGTCTCAAGACAACCGGGGGAAAGTTCGCGATCATAAACGCGCGACCACCGTCAAACTGTTCGACGCAAACGATACGTGTCGTCCGCGTTACACGACACTTCGAGAGGTATCGGCCAGGTTCCTGGCGATCCAGGAATTTCATTGCGCACGCATACGGTGTGGCAGAGATATAATTTGCCGAGTCCGTCATTCCGCACAGATCATATTGCAATCAGTAACACAATGGAACGATATTTTCATATCAATATATTATTAACTCGCGCCGTTTATAGCGGAACGCTCGCGCGTTCCATGTTGTGCCCATACGTATCGTTAAACAGCCGTGCCACCAGGGGCTCGTCGTATACAGTTACATGCACGGTTTATTGTTAATTGCATCGTTAAAATATCCTCATTGGGTGCGCGATGCCGCCGACGAGTCCGCGGAGATCGAAATGCTCGTTTATTATTACTACGGTTACTCTGCCGCTTCGAAATTTATGAAGCTCATCTTTTCATTCGTCGTGTCGTAAGTGTTGCTTAAATTGGTATTAAGTAGCGGGGGAGCACGCAATGCTGTCTCGTGCTCGAGTGCGAATGAAAAGCGCGTGATGAAACGAGATTGGCGTCATGTGACGCGTAATCACATGCTTCTTGTATCTGTGTTAATGAGAGAATAATACAATTTCTTTTTCTCTCCTTCCCTTCCCTTCTCCTTCTAAACAAACAAATGAATGAATAAAACAACAAACTCTACTCTCTCTCTCTCTCTCTCTCTCTCTCTCTCTCTCTCTCTCTCTCTCTCTCTCTCTCTCTCTCTCTCCCTCTCTCTGTCTCACTTTCGTTTGGCCAACGAAAGGAAGAATGTCTATTTTTAGATCGTTTTCCTACTTATTTAAGAAATCACTTCGTCAAATATTTCGGAAATTATGTTGTCCAGATACTTGGAGCCTTGAGTGCTGAGTAGAGATGTGCGAACTATTCGAATTCGAATCGAATCGAATCTAACGTAATTCGATTCGATTCGAATCCAAATCCCTGTGATTCGAATCCGAATCATATTAGCGTTTGCGCGCGTCACCTACAAAACGGGCCATCTGAGCCTGTACGTTTGAACCCTTAACCCTTGTAATTAATTAACTTAACTTATGATTAATAACTTAATTATAAATTACTTTAATATTTAAATATATATTTTATTTTAAGATGATATTACAATATCAATGTTCCCTTTCATATTAAAATCTCCCATCATTATTTGCATGTTTAATAGTCATGTTGAATTTTTTAATGATTCGATTCGATTTCATTCGATTTGACTCGAATTCGAATGAAATTTCATAGATTCGATTCGATTCGAATTCGAATGAAAAAAATGAGATTCGATTCAATTCGATTCGACATAAAAATTCTTGTTTCGCACATCTCTAGTGCTGAGTTGAAAAAATATTTCCCTATTTACACGATACTTTATTATCAAAGAATGCACTCATTATGTCTTAGTCTAGTCAGATAATCCAGGAATTATTTTGTGACCTTCAGTCTATAAATAAACTTGAAAAACTTATCGAATACTTGTGAAAAATGACTAAAGCGCATTTATTTGTTGCGCGTAAGATGCATATTTTTATATAACTGCGTAAAAAAGATTAGAATATACTTCAAAAGTTACAAAAAAACTGTTTCTATCTCTTCCGCTTGAACATACGATAAGTTTGCAATAATAAGTCGTAACTTGTACAGTAGGAAGAACCATGACATTTTTAGATTATTTAAATAGTAATAAAGGCGAATTATCGGTAAAGCAGTAAAGCATTGCGCTATAAGAAAGAAATAAGTTTTTTCGAAAACATTTGGAAACCTTTCAAACTACCTGATCAACATAAACTTCACTCAAGAAACTTCACAAGAGGCACGATAACTGTATCATTGGCATGTCTCCATTAAGAAGTTACGAGCGTAAGCATTATCGTGCTCGTATGCACTTTAAAAATGACGCATAGGCACGATATGGAATACGAGCGTTCCGCTATAAACGCGTAAGCATTATCGTGCTCGTATGCACTTTCGAAAATGCTTGACGCACCAACAACAAAGTGCATTCAGTAATCAACCGAAAGGTATCTATCTTTAAATCTATCTTACTACTATAAACGGCGCGAGTTAATAATATATTGATATGAAAATATCGTTCCATTGTGTTATTGATTGCAATATGATCTGTGCGGAATTACGGGGTCGGCAAATTATATCTCTGCGTCATAATCATGCGTCATAAAAAATCATTAACATGCATGATTAAGCGAATCTAGCACGACACTTCGTCCTCTAATCTATAAGAAATTAATAAATATCACTGCTTTTAGCAAGAGAAAAAGTGTCGTGCTGATCATTTCTAGCGCATTTTTCGATATATCATTTATCGACAGTTCTACATGAGTTCTAACAACTACGATCATTTTTATGTCAAATTCTTTCGAGACTGATTTGATAAAGTCATTTTTTCTCGTCTCGACGAAACAAGAAGATATATTGTAGGAAATCATCAACCTTGATATCGAAAATTTTCAAACTTGTATCCTTGTATCCGCTGTTTTGGTTAATTATGACGTATATAGTGTTGGGCTAAGTCCGAAAATTAAAAAGTCATTTAAAAATAGATAGATAGCCACTGGAACTCTGCCTAAAAATGATACTGTCGGTATATTGAAAAATATGCTAGAAATGATCAGCACGACACTTTTTCTCCGAGTGCCGTGCTAGGTACAATATACGTTGTTTATGTAAATAACGTAATTATTGAAATGTTTTATATTTTAATTACATACAGAGATGGAACTCGATTGGAACTAACGGGAACTCTTCTTAAAAGCAGAGATATTTATTGATTTCTTAAAGATTAGGGAAGGAAGCGTCGTACTAGATTCGCGAAGTTAGCACAATTTTTCATTTGCTACTTTTTGGTATTAAAAATGCGGTACTCTTTTTATTTTCTATCAGGAACTCTAGAACTATGAAAAATGCTACTAGAACTATCATTGTTTTTTTTTAATTTAAAGAATGTCGCGCCAATAGACACGTAATTATACAGTAATTACAGACTTTGTAGACAGACATGAAATACATGAAAAATATGAGTAGTACACGATACGATACGATGCACGATACGATTCCTCGTCAATCGTCGAGCGCTGGCCAACGAATCGCTGTACCGTATTCCGCCGATTCTTTCACTCTCTGCCGCGTTTCCGAATCCAGAATATCCCCCGCGACACGTCAGTTTCGTCGATTTATTTACCGGGAATAAGCGACGACAAGCCCGTAAATCAATCACGCGCGACACGGCGTACCAATTAATTCCGATCGTGCCGGTAACAAGTCTCGCGAAAAAAAGAATGTTAACCATTCGCGGAGAGATCTCGATCTCTCTTCCTCTGTCTCCCACGCTCTCTTTCTCTTTCTCTCGTGTACACGTGTCTCAAAGTAGCGTTAAAACGTTCAAAGGAACTTAACGCGTGATGGAATTATCGTGTCTACATTCAGACATTCAGAGACGCATCACGCTAATTGCAATGTTTGAAAGCGAAGTAAGCTAAAGAGATAACAATGCTCCGACAATTTATTTGCAAAGTTGCGGGAGTGTGAATACTCATGAAAGAACAAATTACACCCACGCGGGTGCTCCTTTAGCTTCCACGATCGTGTGCACATACACATACACACATACACACATATATATATATATATGTAATATATATATATATATAAATATAAATATAAATATAAATATGTATACATAGTATGTATATAACGAGGAGAGCACCATCACAAATTTGTGCAGCATCGTGCTCGTGGCTTGTTGCGTAAATTCGCGCAACAACAGATCACTTCGAGGCAATTACGCTCCCTAAGACAAGAGGAGAGACAGGTGCCTTGGCCGTGTAGCTAGGATATAAATTCAATGAAAAGAGCTTACGAAAAGCACTCTCGCTCGTGCCGGTAAATGACGCCGATAAACAATAGCGACGGAAGATAAGAAGAAGCCACAATGTTCTTTTAGACTCCCACCCCGGGAGTCGGTCGCACCCCCCACCTCCTGCACTCCAGTAGTTCCCTCTTCGATATCTCTTCCTCGTCTCTGTCTCTTCCTCTCTCTCTCTCTCTCTCTCTCTCTCTCTCTCTCGCTCTATCCATCGTAACGGGTCGTTAGCATAATAACGTCAACTGTTTCACGACGTTGGTAGTCAATACGAGCCGCAGCTCCGATAGCGCCGCATTGATCGTATTGAGTCACATTAGTGTCGTCCCGCGAAATTGCATAACGAGAAAGATCCGTGCGAGCGAGCGAGCGAGAGAGCGTGCGCGCGCGCGCGCGCGTCCACCCGCCTCCGCGTACACGTACACGACACACGCGCAGCCCGGCGATATAAGCTCTCGTCGCGTTACCGTAGTGAGCGTTACCGATAGCTTATTATTACACCTCTCGTGCCGTTGTCTCGCAGCCAAGCGTTGACTGCAGCTTCGTAGCGAAGCTCCCTTCGAGAGCGAGCTTCTCATGAGCGTGCGGCGGTCGGAGAAAAATCCGGACAGAACTCTGCGTAAGTGGAAGAGGGAGAAAAAGAGAGACGGAGAGAGAGAGAGAGAGAGAGAGAGAGGGGGGGGTAGGAAGGAAGAGGTAAACTCTTCGTGTACTCACGGATGAACACACGTGCCAGTTTCGACCGAAACAATCGCCCACAACGACGACGATTCACAAGCGTTCTCCTCCGCAGCGCGCGCCGTTAATCGAAAAAGAGAGACAGAGATAGACAGAAGAGGAGGAATATCTCGAGTATATCGAGTGTGTATACGCCGCGATACGAATCACCCTCACGATTAAACTCATCACCCTCTCGCGATCTTTGCACGCAGGCAACGCCAGCAGCGGCTCATCACATACACTTCGCGGAAAGTGCGTGCGGCGGACAAGCTAAGGCAGCAAGAAAAGAGGGAGAGAGAAAGAGAGAGAGAGAGAAGAAGAAGAAGAAGAAGAAGAAAGAGAAAAAACGCGGGGACAACAGTAAATTGTCGTATTCGAGATGACGAGCCATACCACGACGATGGTGGTGGACTATCTGGTGTTCATCGGCTTCATCGCGATTTCTTTTGTGATACCGCTATGGGGGAACTTCCGGACGAAGAAAAAGGAGACTAAAGCAAACTACGTGTTCGCCACCGGCACCGTGTCAATGGGCGCGATGATGCTGTCGATCGCGCGGGGCACGCTCGGCGTCCGGTCCTTCCTCGGTTATCCCTCGGAACTGTATTATCGTGGCAGCGCCATGTGGGAGACGCTGTACGGTATGCTGCTGGCGTATCCCATCGTCTGCTTCATCTTCGTGCCCGTTTACTACAATCTCGGCGTCACGTCGGTCTACCAATATCTCGACATGAGGTAATTTCGCGGCTTCGTTCGCTCGCGCGCGCGCGCGCGCGCACGCGTTAAGCCACCTTTATCACTGTCCATTTGTCCACGCACGGAGAAAGAAGATCGGTCGAATTAACGAGTGAACGATCAGCGAACCAGACGCGTATGGATCGGGAGAGAGACGGAATTTTCGCTTCTTGAAATCGAATCTTGTTCATAAGAAGCAAAACTTGTTTCCTTCAACCAGCCTCGTTCGTGACTCATTCATTGACATGTTGATCTCACCAATCTTTTTTCTTTGTCTATGAATAAATAAATAAATTCCTCTTTCGCTAGTACATATACGTGCATATGCATGCACACTTGTTACGTGAAAAGCGTCGCGACGATCAATATCTAAAACAGTGGTGTAATTATTTAATATTTAATAACGATGACACCTTGGACCGGCGAATGACGTCCGTCGGCGTGAATCGCGGCGGACTACGCGTCCTCCGTAATGATCGCGTCCGATTAGCGCGCGACCAATTCGCCGTTTGCTCGCGCGCGCCGGATCTCTCCCGTTTCAGAGCTACTCCTAATTATGCAAATTCTCCAGGTTCAAGTCGAAGCTAGTGAGATGTCTGGCGAGCTTCTCTTACGTCATACGGAGCCTCTTGAACTTGGCGGTCACGGTATTCACCCCGTGCGTCGCGCTCAAAGCGGTCATAGGGCTTCCCTACTGGGCCAGCATCGTGGGGATCACGATCATTTCCGTGGCTTTCACAATTATGGTAAGGGGCACGTGTACCGTGTGCACGTGTGCACCGTTTCATTGGATATGAAACATGCGTCCGTGTGCACATCGTCCGTTCGCCGCTCGACGACGCGACGGTGATTAATCGATTTAAATAAAAAAGAATATCATGCGTACGCTCTCTCTCTCTCTCTCTCTCTCTCTCTCTCTCTCTCTCTCTCTCTCTCTCTCTCTCTCGATCTCTCTCTCGATCTCTCTCTCTCTCTCTCTCTCTCTATCTCTTTCTCGATAATTTGTTTTAAACAACTGCATGTCCTGAGGTTCCCCGCGGAGAAGAGGGCAGATTGCATTAATTCGCAGTTCAACGAGATTTGACATTCGTATTTTGCGCGAAAATGTTTGCCCGCAATCAGTCACGACAATAACGGCAACGCGAAAGCCGCACTCCTTCCCGCCGATACCGAGAGTCTCGACCAAAATCATATCAGTTTTCGATAGCCACGGGAGATAGGAGGGAAGAAATAAAAAACATAAGTGTGATTCCGCAGGAGAGATATTTTCGGAAGGCTCATTATTTTCAGAAAAGGATGTGTGTTTGGGTGATTATGTGACAACTCTGATAACTACGTGATAAATTCGGATGAATCGAAAACGGCGGCTTTCGACGAAGTCGACGTTTCAATGACGATTATTATTTATAACCTTCTCTTTCTCTCTCTCTCTCTCTCTCTCTCTCTCTCTCTCTCTCTCTCTCTCTCTTGGTCTCCCGAGGGAAATCGGAACAATTAAGCAGGCGCACAAATTGGATGCAGCGTATGAATGACAAAGGGACTGTAACAGTAAACAGCCCTATATATTATAAAAGAGGCATTAAAAAGCGCAAGTACGGCTTTTAATATTAACTATCGGAATAATGGGACCATTATTATATAATTCTGAATATAACGACGCGCGCTTACGCCCCCTTCCTCTCTTTCTCTCTTTCGCGGAATGGCGTAATTTCAGTGGCGGTTCGCTCTTCTATATATCCGATCGTTTAGCAACGTTAAAATTAACCGAATGAATTATTTCACAATGCCCGGACCGTTTAATAACTTTCGACGCGCGCTACTCGCCGCGAAAATAACTCCATACGTACACACACACACACACACACACACATGTGCTCCAACTTGTTTTTGCTTTCCAGGGAGGTCTAAAGGCCGCGATCCTGTCGGACGTTATACAAGGCTTGGCGATGATCGGAGTGTCTGTGGTGATCATCGTGCAGGGAACGGTGAACGTGGGCGGACCCGCTAACGTCCTGAACGTTACACGCGAGCGCGGACGTCTGGATTTCTTCAAGTACGAGCGCGCGAACCTCGGCCGCGAATTCGATTCGAGGCGACGCGTAACATTGGAATTCCCCGGCGCGTCGCGTGTTTTCGCGTCGAGAGCTCCGCTGATCACGGCGGGAGCGCACGACGACTACGCGTGTGTGCGAACCAACAGCCCGTGCAGATCGCGAATGCAATGTGCAATGTGCAATGCGCGTGATTTCATCGCAAAACGCCATTTCGCATTAAAATACCGCGCGCGCCGAATTCGAAATGATTAAAAATTCCGCGCACGGCGCAGCCAAATGATTTCACGTGCCGCGTATTTCCTGCGCTTCTTCGGAATTTCGCCGCCGCGCCGCGGTGATGGGGCCGGCTAATTTGCCTTCCGCGATCGAACGCCGATCCGGAACGACGATCTCGCGCGAGCGACCGTGTCCAATAAACTCTATCTGTTTTTCCACAGTTTCGATACGGATCCTACTATCCGAGTGACGACTCTATCGGCGACACTGGGTCAGCTGTTCATGAGTTTATCCATTTTCGGATGTCAGCAGAACTTTGTCCAAAGATACTGCAGCATGTCCAGTCAGAGGAAGGTTGTCAAGTGAGTAAGCCCTTGTTTGAGCGAAGCGATCGGGGGATCGGACATATTCCCTAATCAAGACTGCGAGACGGCGGTAAACGACATTCGTCGCGTATCGCGAATGCACGTCTCGTCGAACGACCGTCGCACGGGATAATGTAATTTATGCAAAGTGTTCCGCGAATTATCAGTTGAAACGTGCGAGGCGTAAACGGAAACCACGAGCGTGCACTCGCGGAAGCGGTCGATGAGAGGAAAGTCGAGTCTATGAAACGACCGGGGGGAAAGAAAGGAGGACAGCGGCGTCGTTTGGAGCAGCATTGTGCCGCGCAAGTAAGAATATCAAAGTTTAATAGTCGCCAATAGTTCGTCTGAGAGCGTATAAAGGTCGCCTTGTAGAATATCGCGCCGAGCGCGACGAGAGTCGCCGATACTTCTCGGAGACTTTGAAATATATTTTGCCGTAAAGCACCCGGCAGCTGCAAATACATTGTTATCGTAGCGTCGTTATCGTTATTCGTCGAAGCGTCAATGCGGCTATCAGCTTAATAACCGAGTCAAGGCACTCATGCGTGAATCTTTGTGTATTTTGACATACCTTCGCGTTAACAAATGGACGTAACAAATGCACAGAATGTTTCTCGGAACCTGATTGGGGGATCCAAGCTCGATTTGCCGAGATCTACGCAGTCGCGAGTGCTCGCATAGGAAAATTAGCGCGGTCCCACAAAACGGAAATCTTATCTCGCGTCGATCTTTTATCTCAGCAGCTCGAAAATACCGCGAGACGAGCCGATTCCCGCATCGAACACATTTATCACGCTTTCGGGACATGCGTTCCCTCGAATTTCCACGTGCACTCCGGACGCACCTGATGTGTGCACACACATTCGCTCGTCATTCCGCGAAACCTCTTGTCTCCGAAGTGATCGCTTGAGTCGAACCAATGATTCAGCGGCATGAGTCGGCGAAGATTATAGGTCGCGGTGACTCGTGCATACGTTGCGTTCTTGCCGTTGCGGGGAACACCAGCTTATAATAAATCGAAAACAGGAGCGTGCACGCAGGTGACGTCAACGCGGAGTCGGTCGCGAATCGCAACGCGAGCTTGCGCCTTCGTAGAATCCAATCCACGATCCGCATAGGAAATGTCTCGGGGTCTAATTGGAATTTGATCCGATCTCCCCCCCCCTCCCCGAAATCTACTACGAAAGCCGAAATCTAATACAGGTCCAACTAGAGATGCAATGTTTTCGAATACGCGCGTCTCCAAGTGAGAAATTCAGACTTTCCTCAATGTCTTTTTTCAGTTCCCGTGTTTTACATTGAAATTTTATCTTCTTCTTCATTTTTATTCTATCATTTATTCTATCATTAGTCTACTAGAATGCTGATTATACTATAACGTTATATTATGTGTCGCAAAACATAAGAAAAGCGCAAAATCCCATAAAAATAATAATAATAATTTCGGGACAAATTTGGCAATTCTAATCGCAATCCATGTTGCGTCTGAAAAAATTTACGTGGGAAATTTCTACGCGAGACAACGCGAGCCGTAAAATCTGAACTTTCCGGCCTGCGCTTTTAGCCCTCACAATCGATTTTATCCGCAGTCCCTCATTATTTGGCACTTATCCCACCCATTATCGCGTAAACACGCTTGTTTGCGCGCTCAGAACGGCTTCGCATTCGCGTCGCTATAATTGCGAAACATTTCTCCAGCGCACGCACCGCTACGAACGCGAGCGAGAGAGAGAGAGAGAGAGAGAGAGAGAGAGAGAGAGAGAGAGAGAGAGAGAGAGAGAGAGAGAGAGAGAGAGAGAGAGAGAAAGTGAGTGAGTGAAAGAGAGAAAACGATCGACGATAAATAAACCGAGCTTTTTCCCAGTCCGCTGGTCCGCAGCATATAATCGAAAGCGTATGAAAGCCCAAGCGGCCGCAATTTTGTTGCGCGTTACCGGGACATCAGGTGGGCCGAATGCATCACGTCGCTTCGTAAAATTTTATCGCTCGAGAATATATCGTTGGCGGGATACCCGAGTGGGTACACTCACGTGCCGTGAAGAGAAATAAAGTTGTACGTTTGATCCAGAGAGAGTGCATGAAAAAGAGAGAGAGAGAGAGAGAGGGGGGAGGGAGGGAGGGAGGGAGAAACACAGACAGAAAAGGATAAAGGGCGAATACGTTCCTCTGCCGTGCAAATTTCACAGCCGCAAGAACTTGAACAAGATTCCCCGTCACGTAGACTCGCTTCGCGCGACGTAGCGCAGAAAGATCTCCGAGGCGCAGCATCGAAATTCATGGCGCGATTATCCATCTGTCGGCGTTAAACATACGTACGTCGGATAAGCTATAAAATAGAGTTCGGTGCGTGACGACGAGCTGAGGGATTTTACGGCCGACGATTTCCCGCCTTACCTTCTGCCTCTCCCGTTTTCCCGTCGCGTCGTCGACGTCGTCGTCGTCGTCGTCGTCGTCGTCGTCGTCGTCGGCGGCGGCGGCGGTGGCGGCGGCGAAAAGTTTTCGGTAAGTGGCTCGATTGAGTCGATTTAGGAAATTGTGTGTGCCCGCGGTTACCATTACCACATAATCAATGAGTACCCCGTGGGGGACCGAATGGCGCGGCGCCAAACTTTTAGTACAGAAATATTCCAGCCCTGCCCCCTGTCCTCTCTCTCTCTCTCTCTCTCTCTTTCACTCCGTCGTCGTTCAATATGATCCGCAATATCAATTTGAAAGACGTCGACATACGTTCGCGGAATAATGCGACCGTCCCTAAGCGTACCGGTGGTGGCTTTATTAAAATGGCCGAGTAAATAACCGCCCGCGCGGAGGATGAAGGATAGAGCCGCGCGAAAGCTACGTCCTCGTCATTTGTCACCGGGGCCCGCACACGAGATATCCGGAAACGCATTACGGAGTTACGATGGACGACTGTGCCTGTGTCGCTGTCGGCTAATTAAAAACTTACGCTCCGCGCGCGCTGACTCGCGCGCAAATGTGTATTAATGTCACCGGTTATATTCGTGTATACGAATGTACTAGTCGCGCGATCGGCGTTCCAATCAGCATCGTAATGAACCACGCGATTCGCTCGCCAATCATTAAACCGAATCGCCGCTGCCTGCGATTTATCGCGATTAGGCTGCACGAGTTTTTTACTCTTTCGAGGTGAATACAGACCTCGACGCTCGCGGCGGACACGTCACCGTAATTTGCATCTGATTTCACGTGTGTGCGCTCCGCGATGTCTGTCATTTCAAGATTTGTCTATCGTCCCAACAAATCTCAATCCCCTAAAATTTCAATCGCGTCGTCACATCTTCGTCCATTCTCTCTCGCGTCGGTGCTCCCTTTCCCTCAACTCGTTGAAATTTCTCACGATATTTGCGCGCGCGCGCGCTCTCCATTACTCCGAAAAGTTGGAAGAGCGACGAACACGCGGGCGTTACATAATTGTCATCTGCGCTCGCACGCTCGTCTTTATTTCGTCGACGTCGACGACAATTCTTTCATCAATTGTGTCTGTTATTTTCTTCCATTGTCACTCGCGTAGAACGGCGTGTCGGCACGTGGCATTCAATTCCGCGTAGCGAAAAAAATTATACGAAGGAACTCCGCGCTGACACACGCACACGTGTGTCATTTACGTGCTCGCGTTTAAGATCCTTTCAAACTTCTCTGACACTCGCAGGAGGCTATGTTTTATCGCGCGAGGCATCTCGCCTTGCGAAAAGAGAAAATATCCCCCCTCTTCCTCTCTCTCTCTCTCTCTCTCTCTCTCTCTCTCTCTCTCGTTCGTGCGAGAATAAACTAACGTAAACTTCTGAATTTTGCGGTGCAATCGCGGAATCATCGACGAAGAGCGGCCTACCTCACCGAGGGTGAGGGAGGAGGGGAGTAAGATAATGCGAGAGCGAAGCTTCGACTATAAATCTGCGGCGCTGTACATTCGCTGGCTGTACAGGGCGCTACGTACACATTTGTCACGTCCAAATCCAGAAATCCACTGGACTTCGGCCGTGCGCCTGCCGGTGCCGGGTGCGGTTCGGTTACAATGATCTACCGTCGCCACGCTATCGGTCAATCCTACCTACGCGAATGTCAACACGCTTAAACGCCGCGGCTGAAACGTCATCGTCGAACGGACGCGATCCGGAGACGACGCATCGCCATCGACCGCCCCGATTGTCCCATTAAAATCAAAATCGCAAACTCCCGCAAACACTCGTCGACGTTGATCTCTTGACATTTAACGCGTTTGCGCTGTACCAAACAGAATATTACACTAAATGTAACGTCGACGGAAATCTCTCAATCACGCGTCATTTCTGGAAAGTCACAAGTCGCGACTGTCGATTATTCCAAATAATAACATTTTCTGTCTGTTGGCCAGAAATTGAGTCGTCTCATTAGACATCCGTTGCGCTCCTCGTTGCACGCGAAGAAAATATTCAAATCGTTTCGAGACTCAGCGCACACACGCGGTCCCATGTGTACACCTAGTCAGAGTAACCAAAATTACACACACACACACACACACACACACACACAATTTCCGACCCTGTGCTTGCGCGTGTAAAGCTGAAAATCGCGCGAGTAACTCTCGTTATAACGATCAGACATACATGTGACCGTTACCGAGCGTATGTGTGCGGAGACCATTGTATCACGCTCGTCTTATTGTCTCATGATACACGTAATCTGCTGGCGCATCCGGACCGCAAAACGAGCTCCAGAGCTCGTTGCACAAACGCTAACAGCAAACAAGAAGGGAGAAATAGACAATTTGTGGAAAAAAAGCCCGGAACACAAGCGAACGCGCGAGCGTGTGGATGCGAATGATAATTACGTAACGTTAATAATTTTTACAAGAATATACGACGTGCATGCACGCGAGAGCGTTTACGTAATAACCGATGATCTTCGCGCGCCGCGTTTACCTTACTTTGCCGCACGTTTATCGCGAACGCTCGGCATCGTTACGCGAATCCCTTTTGAATTGTTACGCGAGGTACTTTAATATCTCAGCAAACAGTTGCCGACTCGTTTGGGTCTGTAGAAAGAGGAAACAGGCGCGGGCGAAAAAAGGCAGAAGGAAAGAGAGAGAGAGAGAGAGAGAGAGCGAGAGAGAGAGAGAGAGAGAGAGAGAGCGAGAGAGAGAGAGAGGAGAGAAATGAAAGAGAGAACGTGTTTCTTCTGTTTTCAGGACGATGATGGCCAACATACCCATCATCTTCGTGCTGTTCTCGCTCTCGTGGGTGGTCGGAATGGTGATCTTCGCGAATTACGCCGATTGCGACCCTTTGAGCCTGGGCTACATCAACAAGATCGACGAGATCGTGCCGTTCTACGTGGAGGACAAATTCCTCAACATGCCCGGCCTGCTCGGTCTCGTGATGGCGACTCTCTTCAACAGCGCGTTGACGTTGGCGGTGTCGAATCTCAATTCCCTGGCGACAGTGACCTTCGAGGACTTTATCAGTCACATACCGAGACTGAGTGACCTCAAAGACACACAGCAACTGCACTTCATCAAGGCCATCGGCGTCATCTACGGTATCCTGATAATCTGTATCAGCTTCTTGGTAGCCATGCTCTCCGGCGTCATCGAGTCATCTATGCTCATGACATCGGCGACATCCGGGCCGCTTCTCGGTGTATTTCTGCTCGCCATGCTGGTGCCCTGTGCCAATTGGAAAGGCGCCGCCGCCGGTATGATCTTCAGCCACGTCATATCAATGTGGATCACCTTCGGTCACTTGAGCATCGACACCACGACTATACTATTGCCACTGTCGACGGAGGATTGTCACAATGACACTTTCTCACCGTGGGTCAGCAATAAGCCAATCCGGCTCGATTACTCCACACCGAACGTCACCACCTCGACGAGCACGTACGAAAACGTCACACCCTCGCCCGCTACCGCGACCGACGAATACCCGAACCTCCTGTATGCTCTCTACAGCATCACCTATATGTACTACGCTCTAATCGGTAGCCTGACCACGGTGGTCGTAGGTATCATCGTTAGCCTGATCACGGCCGACCCGGAAGCCGACATGTACGAGCAGCACTTGCTACACCCGATAGCGCGAAAGATAGCAGACCTGTTCCCAGGTAAACAAAGGCTCTACAGCAGGAGCAGTAATCGAAACAAAACCGAGAGCGACATCGGCACCTCGGTGACGACCGTCTCCGGTAGCAGCGAAAAGGTGGCGCCGTTACAGGGGATTGTGAACGATAACGGCAAGCTACACGTCGACAGTAGCTACGTGGAAAAATTGAACGCGCTCAAGAACGTGTCTCTCGAGGTGACCAGCGAGGTCGGCAAGAGCACGAACTTGTAACTCGCCGCTGGTCACCGCTAGTCGCCGCGAGTCTCAATTCGAATTATCTCGTCCGGGTTGATCGCGGTCACTTCGACGTTATCGAGAAGGACGAGAAGGAGAAGGAAGAGGAATGAAACGACATACTATGATGGTGAACCTGCTCGAACTGCGGACTGAACAGTTTGCGCGTAAGCCGTCGTGTCAGATTTTATTATCCCGACGAATGCGCCGGTGACTGACGACCCGCGAGCAACGCAATTACGTGCGCGAGCGCGAGGAAAGTTTGCCCGGTGATTACACCGGCCGAATCGCGCTCCTATTCAGCTCAAAATAACGCTCAAACCAAGGCAATTCAAGGAGGTGCGCGGTGCAGCGCGCCGACGCCACTTCTAACTTGCATGTGCCAATTACAATTCACTGCGAGATGCAGCTGCGTATATATAATATATTTATACACGCACACGCATACGCATACGTGTATACAGTGTATTTCACATAAACCGTAATTACAAGTGAACGCGACTCGGTAGGGAACGATTGTCAGATACACGCATTTGGATTGGGACTGACGCGTTTCATCGCCGGCGACTATTGCTACGTATTCCGCCGCGTGCGTGTCCCGGAAAGTGGAAGTCGAGGGTACACACACACGCGGCCATCGCCACCGCGATGTTACGACGCGGGTACTGTTCGAAGGAACGGTCATCTTAGCGGAGAGCAATCAAAGACGCATGTATGCTCGTGCTCGACGTACGAGAATACAACTCGATCACGAAGCCCGATGACGATGCGGACGACGGGGCGGCGAATTTTCTCGCCCCGCTCGGGAATTACCGGCGCGCGCACCGCGCGATCCCCGTCGTTCGACGGCCGACTATCACGTATTCTCACCTATACTCCCTCGGTAATCCAATAGAGACCAATCTCCTGCACCCTATTGGCCCCTATTGATCTTACGGTTCTAAGGATATATCTTAAGAATTAGGGTAGAGACCCCCCCCCACACACATACATATGTACGCAGCGACCATCGGTATCGATGTACCCGACAGACGGACAGGAGATCCGGCTTGACCACGTGTCACGAACGAAAATAATTCCCGTCAATTTCCTAGGAGCGATATCCGACGACAGAGAACGAGAGAGAGAGAGAGAGAGAGAGAGAGAGAGAGAGAGAGAGAGCACAATGTAATCCGTTTAGATGAAGGAGGAAAGCGCGAGCGTTTCGCGCTGTTTTACAACATAAAACTCGACCACTCGAGTCGTTACACATAATATCGCAAGAAAACTGTTACATAAGTTATTCACTGTTGAGCGAGGATATCTTATCACGGTCCTACATGCGAGGGTTCCTCTAGAATAATTTTTGTAGATCTTGAATTTGCTTCGGACAATATCTTGAGAATTCTTATGAGAATGAGATGTGGCTTTTGTCTGAAGCTCCAAACTCGATTTTAAGCTTAACTTAGCGATAAGTAGCATCTCACATTTTACGAATTTGTCACACGTTCGCGTTCAGTCTGCAACGTGCGTGTGTCCATGTATAAAATACAAGTCGTGTCACGTCCGAAGAGAGAGATACTTTAGTATTAAACTTTACTTTTATACCTCAGAAAGCGCGAGCGGTTCTACAAACAGGACATATTGTCGTTGCAGTAAATATATATAATGAGCATAATGCCAATTCAGCAACTGTGATGGTTGAATTGATCTGAAGAAGAGATCGAGAAAGAGAACCTACATATTTATTGTTTTAAGAATAAAATCCGCGGTTTTCTTATCCGTTTCGTAGTTACTCCCTCGTAATCCCTTAAGAGTTGTCTTAACTCCTCTCCCACGCAAACACCATTTATCCTTTTCCCCTCCCGGTTATTATCTACTTATCGAGAAGCGTTTATCGAGAGGACTCGACGAGTATTTCAGTATGAAACAGTACTTCAGTGTGGAAACGTCTGATCCATTGTTTTGCATCATTAGGAAAGTTGAAAAATATCCCCATACATCATTGAATGTATCACCATCTTCTTTCGATCAACATCAAATGTAGCAAAACATATAAAAAACAAATGATTTTCCAAATCCTACTCGTTTCTCAGTGAAAAATCGCAATTATCTCCTTCCCGTTTCAACACAGATAACAGACGAAATGGACCAACGTATCCGCTGCTAACGCGAATGGATCAACTTCCTTTTAGGACACTTTTAGAGCACTCGAGCCCTTGGTATCTAACGCGCTATTCGGCGCTGTCAAGATAATCCTTAATCTGCTTCTCTCGCCGCAAGAGAATTCTCTCGCTTTTCTCGCAATCCGAAATTACCTCGGATTCTGTTTTGCGCAACGGCGCAGTGCGTTGCACGACCCACTCGACCGAGATAAATTTATTTCTCGTTTCACTACTCGAGTAATCTAATCTAAACCAGTCGCGATTCCCGATATATTGTTCTATTCAGATTGCGACAAAAGCGATTATCTGCATCATGACTACTGCGTGTCGGAGCTCGGTCGGGCGAGCAGGTAGAACGCGAGTTCCACACCGGCTACTTAGCAACGCTTACACGTAGACGAAGATATCCCGCTATTATTTCCGCCGTGCCGTCGCCACTGCTGCCACAGGAGGAGAGCCCTCCTCGGCGAGACTGGAAATTCAAGTTCACCGTATGCAGTCAGGTGCGCGAACCGCAAGAGCGTTGGCAACATCGGAATGACCTGACACGGTAGTGGTGTCTCGCCGGTGTACACACCCTACCCGTGGAGAAGGAGCGATGTAGTGGTGAAGTATCGGCGGCCACCACCACGGCCGGTTACATTCGCGAAAACACGGGCCGCTCGCTTTAGTGCCGTGCGCGTTCTCGAGTCGATCGCTCGTTCGCTCGTTCACAAATCTGTCTGTGCATATGTGAAGCGATAATACCGTTGTTGCTGTTACAGCTGGTATGCACAGCGATAACAGCGCGCACTTCTGCTCTTATCTACGCTTTTCCCCTCGCTCGCCGTCTCTATCTGTTTCCTTCTCTCCTCTAACGCTCTATTCCTCTCGCTCTCTCACTCGCTCTTTATCTCTTTTGTTCATTCTCTGTCTCTGGTTCCCTCACTCTATCTTTAACCCTTCTACCGCTTCTCGGCACTCTCGACGGTTGTTGCATCAGCGCGCTGTACAGAGTGAAACGTTACCGGTTTCAGGTTTGAAGCGCGCCGCGAGTACAGAGTCGATCCTGCGCTCTTCGCTTTTTCGAGGTGTTCGATCGGACCACGAGAGAGAGGGAGAGAGAGAGGGAGAGAGAGAGAGAGAGAGAGAGAGAGAGAGAGAGAGAGAGAAAGAGAGACGCCACCATTTTGACAGTGCGGCCGGCAAGATCGTGTGGGACCGCTGCACACACATCTGTCTATTTTCGTCGGCTATTTCCCGCACAGAGAGACAGAGAGAGAGAGAGAGAGAGAGAGAGAGAGAGAGAGAGAGAGAGAGAGAGAGAGAAAGAGAGAGAGAGAGAGAGTAGATCTCGCATTTCGAAACCATACGGGCGTAATACGCTTATACGTGCCTCTGTGTTTCTCGCTCATCCTCCCTCCCTCTCGCTCTCTTTCACCCTCCCTGCTGTCTGACGCGGAGTTTCCCTTGGAATACGGCGCGGGTGAGACGTCGAAGGCGACGGCAGCGGCATCATGGCGGTAGAATCGAGGTAAATACGCGGCGAGCCTCGCACACACGTGCTCCCGGAACACGGTGACGTGTGTGCGCAGGTTAGACCCTTTCGGCGGAAACGCGAGGACGAAGTAGAGATCGTATTCGCGAAGGGAAACATGCACTAGCATGTTTCTTTGCGTTATAAATTTCCTACGCACGTAAACTCTCGTGCAGCATGCGTGGAAAATAATGCTCGTCGGTCGTTTCTACCACGGGAGCGACAAAACAGCAGCCGCGATCGTTCCCCGGCTCGGTCGGGACGTCGCTTGTCATTACGAGACGCGGCAGTTGTTCTGCAATTACCGGATAATTCAAGCTCCCACAGATAAATCGTGGGTTCTCGCTTGTTAATAATTGAGCAGTCCGCGTCGAAAATACGACGTGGACAAATCTGCCTGCGGGTCCGCGCAAACTCGCGAGCGAGCAAAGAAGAGAGAGAGAGAGAGAGAGAGAGAGAGAGGGGGGCGGGGAGGGGAGGGAAGCAGGAGGGATGCACGAATTTCTCCGCGGTGAATTTCCGCCTGACTTCGCGTTGTTAACGCGATAGACAATGGTGCCGAAACGCTCGGCGAGGCCGCGGAGTTGCCGGCGTCATTAGCTCGCGGCTTAAAACACATCGGCTGATTGATTGCGCCCGCTTGCAGGTTCGCGAAACGCGCGATTGGCCCCGCCAGCTGGAAAATTGAAGCAATCCGATACCGCGGACTCCGCTAATAACGCGCTAGTTTCCGCGATGTTACCTTCAGTTCCTCCTCTAATTCGATCCGCGAGACTACACTGCAAACCCGAGTGTGTTATTTTGACACGTATAAGCTGAAGCTTTCTTCACGCGTTTCTTGTCGTCTGAAATCACGTCATTTGATGCTGATTTCGATATCACTTAACGCGTTTAAACACGTTAAACGACGTGATTTAAGACGACGAAGATACGCGTAAAGGAAGCTTCAGCTTATACGCGTCAAAATAACACACTCGGGTTTGCAACGTAGACGAAACGAGTCGCGACGCGGGGTCTTCGAGGGCATTCGTCGCAATTATCTCGGCATGTAAATCGCGAGAAGACCGTACATAATGCCGTCTTCGAGCGCTAATGAGCTTATACCGGTCGAGAAAGGAACGCGCTCCGCCGATTTATGTTGCTCGATGTCGCGGCATCACGCCGGGTTGGCGAATTTGGCCTGCTGCACCTCGGCAACGGCGTCAATAGGCAAGATCGATAAGTCACTCCGCTTCCCATCCCAATTAAAGAGGAATATTGCTTATCGACGGTGGAATCGCTCGTTAATCCATTGGGCGCAGCAACATCTTGCAACCGCTTACACACGACACGGCCACGTGGGGAAACGACGCGTCAACGAGAGAGAGAGAGAGAGAGAGAGAGAGAGAGAGAGAGAGAGAGAGAGAGAGAGAGAGAGTGCGCACGAAGAAAAGCGTATTTCGACGCGCGCACGTACGTACCTCGTCGACTTTGAATCGATTTCATCCTTCGTGGCTTCGAAAGCTGCTTGCTCAGACGTAACACGCACGATACGTCGATTAACCTGCGGTTAGCTTATTAAATGGATTAACCTGTTACGTCAGAGGAGAGGGGGAATAAATTATGGCGATACGTACATGAATAGATTACCGTTCACGACAACCGTCATCTCCGTACCACCGATTATGATTACGTATGCACGTTCGTCGCGGAGAAAAGAGCGCGAGATGCGGATTTTTAAAAATATCTCGCGCGTATGACACGTTGAGAAACACACGTTTGGGAGATGCACGTTCTCGTGTCTCTCCTCAGGCGCCGGAAAGTCAGAAAAGCACGCTAATGCACATTTATCTCACCGCATGCGAGTTCGACTTCTTGTTTGGAAAATGCGACAGAAAAGTGTGATTTATCGCGTCTGTCATCGAGAAGACATCCGGCCGGCTACGGGGAGATACAGATGTGCATCTTGCAGTGGTGGAATTTGCAAAAATCGTCGAGTGCGACCAACGTACGTTCCGACCACCGACGCTCGAAATAACTTTCGCAGCCGAACGAAACGTACTCCGTCTCGTCACGGAGGACACTTCCGCCCCGTGGCGGAGCGAAAATACTCGATAGGAAAAGAATCTTCGCAAAAAGGGTCGATTTTTTGCCCATTTTTCGATCCTCGATTTTGGAATCGAATTTTATGCCAAAAGATAGTTCATGATGAGACATTAATTACAGAAAAGTTGAGTATACGATTGGTTTCAAAGATGTAGAGGCTCAAAGTGGTCACTACCTACACTAGGAAAAATGTATTGTTGCGTGAACCAAAATTTTGTTGTAACAACAAAATAATTTGGTCAAAATATGCCCAACAAAACAGTTCCTGTAAACAAATATCTTGTTTGATTACGGTTTGTTCGTATAACGTAATACTTTTGTTATAGCAATCAAAAAGCTTCAACTATATGAATTTTGTTAAAAATTCTATAATGTTTTCTTAATATATAAAATTTAAATTTTAGTGCACAAGAAGACAAAATATCCATTGGGCATTATTTTAGTTTATGTAAAATAATATTTCATTATTATGTAATTTTTATGGATAAAATAACTAAAATGCTCTTAATTTTTATATATGAAGTCTAAGAACAAAATCATTTGGTCCAGAGAACAAAGCAGAAAAATATATTTAGTTGGGACAACTAAATATTTTGTTATATAAAACAAGATATTTGGTTGCTATTAAAAAATGCCTCAACTGAACAGATTTGTTAGAGATACTAAATTTTTTTTCCTAGTGTACTAAGGAAGTATGACCCTAATAACGCTTTATCGCACGAATTTTTGCAAAATTTAGTATCTATGAGTTCTTTGAGTTGCTGATTATAAATCTGATGTCAGATTTTAAAAATGCAAGATGGCAGGTGCAACATGGCAGACGCACATAGTGAAACAATCATTTACTTTTATTGGAACTGTTATGTGGTGGTTCTTTTGGCTAGTTGATTACAAATTTTCTATTAAGTTTTCGAAAGTAATTTTTCAATGACAATTTTTTAGTGGAAAAAGTATTTTTTTTATTGTTTTTTCATAAAAAAAATATCAAATTCAAATTGATACGTTACATGACGCATAAAGGATAACGTGATAGTTTTATTTGTTATATTTAGAAGCTTATCTTGCCTTCATTGGCTGGATAACTTTTTCATCTTGCCTGCAGTGGCTGGATAACATTTTTATCTTGCCTTTATTGGCTGGATAAGTTTTCATCTTGCCTACGGGCAAGATGAAGGTAAATGTAAATCTGATAGAAAATTCGCAATCAGCTAACTGAAAAAACCACAACATAACAGTTCTAATAAAAGTAAATAATTGTTTCACTATTTGTGTCCGCTATATTACATCCGCCATCTTGAATTTTTTAAATCTGACATCGAATTCGTAATAAGCAACTCAAAGAACCCATAGATACTGAATTTCGCAAAAATTCGTGCGATAAAACGTTATTAGTGTCAAATTTCCTTAGTAGGTAGTGACCACTTTGACCCTCTATATTTCTGATATCTTATCATGAGCTATCACTTCGCATAAAATTTAATTTAAAAATCGGAGACTTTTTGCGGAGGTTCTTTCGACCCGAGAACGAGGAAGGACTCGCAGCACGCCGGCGATTCGCACGACGCGAGTTCGTCCGTCGACTCGGAGGAGAAAAATAATGCGGTTGTGCAGCCGTGATATCTCTTGCGATAACGAGCGCATTATTGCAGTTCTCTGACGCATCCACGGCGACCGATAGCGAGGGTGGAGAGGGGTATTTAACGAGACCGGTCATGTTTTACATAACGTTTCGCGAGGACTCAGACTTACGCGCATCGCTCGCTCACGGTCAAAATCAGATGTCGGCAATAACGATGAAAGTACGAATTGAATTATTCAGCGGGGCGTCTCGCGCTGTCCGCGAAACGACGGCCGTCTTAATTTCTAAAAGCGGTTCTTACCTACCTCTTACTTCCTTCCCTCTCTTTTTCTCTCTCTTTTTTTTCTCCCTCATCTACTGTGTCTCGACTTCTCCGCTCTCTGAGGCGTTGTTGCCAGACCCAACGTGCGCCGGACGCGGATAGATAGCAATAAATTATTAGCGCATCACGCGTGAACCGCATGAAAGTGCGGCCGTGGAAACACCTGATGCAGCAACAGCCGTACATCTACAAAGACTTCATTATCACCGCGTGATATATGACAGGCTCGTAAGCGGCCGAACGAGCGAACGAGCGAGCATTATTGTCTCCTGGATTATGTTCGCGATCGATCGGCGCTCGCGCGATTTACGCTATGCGATATCGTGTGTACTCTTGAAATTTATTATCTCCCATAGAGTTCGACGGTTATTGCGCCTGAATTGTGGCCAGTCGTAGCGTTCACCGCGGCTGCGTGCGCCGGCAGGAAAAAAATCGCGACTGCGCCACGTAAAGCGAAACCGCTGCAAGGTCGCATCGTTATCGTCGATTAAGCGGATAAAGAAAAACGCCGCCCGCTCGGGCCGGTCGAGACTTCGTAATTGAATCTTACGTGAACAACGTTGAATCTTAATTAAATCTAATCATCCGTGCAGTCGGACGGCAATCGACACATCTGCGATAACGCGGCGCGGCCGGCAAAATATCGTCGATCTTTGCTCGAAAACTATCGTCTGTATCAATGTCACATTTCGCACGTGTTACAGCGTGGAAGATTGTTTTTAGAGGACGTGATATCGCCGGCCCGATATCACGTCGCGCCGCGTGCGTCGCGGTGCATTTTCTAAAAGTACGTAACCGCGCATCTGCCGTAATATTTTCTTGCCTCGTATAGTAAGAACTTTTGTGGTATTACGGCCGGAGACATTTATGCGACGTCTTTTTTATAGGGGGACGTACGCTCTTGCGCGGAATTTCTTATTTGTGCAGAATACGACCGCTTATACGCGCGCGCTGACGGACGTATGGCGGAACGACGATGCCATCGTTTTATTCTTACTTTGCTTCGCTCGTTTTATCGCATTACATGCGCTCACAGACGTCTCAGTCGTCCTGTTACTCGCGCTGTTCAACCGCGCCATTTTCCTTCACGAAACGCAAATTTAGCGATTTATCTTTAATTTGGTGCTATGAGATTGGAGATTGGTGATGAGTAATCCGTTATTCGCCGCGATCTTCCTTGCGGATAAAATTGCCGTTTTCGAAACGATTTCGACAACGCGTGCCTGCACATGCATTATTATTTTAACGATTTTAACGATAAAATCTCTCATCTCGAGGGAGGCTATCTAGAAGAGATCCACCGAAATCAATCTGAACCGAGAAAAAGAAAGAAGAAGAAGAAGAAGAATGCGAGCGAGAATACGAATTTCCTTGTTGCGATTCTCTCGATGCCCTATCTATCTCGATATAGCATTTTGTTCAACTCGATTCGAATCGACTTTTTATTCATCAATAGAATATTCAATACAAATATTGTAAACGTGTATGATTGCATCAGTATAATATCGAAATATTCAAATATATACAAACCGCCGATGCAAGGTAAATCAATTTCTGCAGATCGAATGAAAGAAAAAGTCAAACGGTTCGCACCGCAGAAAGGTTGATATCGTAAAGATTGACAAGATCGCTGATGATTTCATCGGCTCGACAAACGAGTGATTTTATAAGCGTGGAATCAGACAATTACCGAAAAGATGGCAAACAGTGATGGATACTTTAATTGAATACGATGGAAGAGGAGAGGGAGGGAAAAGCGTATAGTTTCGTTTACTGCCGATAAGAGAAGTATCGTCGCTATCGATAACAGGAATATTTTCGTAACAATCCGCCGAATTTTTGCGAGCCCCTTAAAATACATTTCACGGTGTATTCGTGTAACGACGCGACAGATAAGACGAATGGCAACGAAAGGGACAAATCGTCACATCGCAAACATCCTGCTCGAGTATCGAGCCGTTACGACGACGCTATCTCCGAACAAAACGATTGATAACACGAGCACTCGTATTAGGGGAATAATAAAGGGACGTCTTTCTCTCTCGCCCTCCCATCCCGCGCGCGATCGCAAAACTCCATCGCGTGCCGTATATAAAAAAGAAATTTGGCGTGAAGGAGCGAGGAAGAAGGGACACGTAAGGATCTTATTACTCGCGAGACGGAGGAGATTCGCCGCGTTGCTGACGCCGGAGGATCGTCAGGGTCGGAATCCCACGGTGGCGCGCAGATATACAGATGACAAGGTATTCGATCTCGGGGAGAACACGCGATAGCGTAATCGGCGAAGATTATCTGTACTGAAACGTGCGCGAAACGAGACACGGAGTCGCGATTGACCTCTTCGGTTATCGCTTCGAGTTTATCGGCCGAATGGCGTCGGCCTTAACGTAGCAATGGGGTGTGCCAGAAGTCTACGTACGCCGGAAACGTACGGCTAGATCCTGAAGAGGATAAAATAAAGAAAAGCGAAGAGGGAGCTTCCCGACTCGCACTTTGGGATTGCATCCTCGCCGTCTGATGACGACGTAAACTTCCCAACCGCGATGTTTATCTGGATCTTAACGTACATTCACGTCGCTAACTTGCTATGAAATGTATTGCAGCGGCCTATTAAGACGCGACTATGGACTTTGTAGTCTTCCGACAAGGCGTCCCGGCAAGATCTATCGCGGCTTATGCGATAGATCTTGCCGATAGATCCTTTTAGTTTACTGTTGCCAGAACAACCATGCTACTATAAGAACTGAAAGGCGCGATCCTGAAGTTAATTTGTTTACGACTCCCGGGTAAAACCAACCAGTATATAATAAACCCTCTCGATATTACGTAGACGAAATTATAGATATAAATATATATATATATATATATATATATATACATATTTAAGCGTGTCAGTGTATTAAAGGAGTAAAGTCGTCCCACATGTCGTGAAATATACGAAGTGTTAGCAAAGAAATTTAAACGTACACGATGAAACAGACGTAAACATAAATCTTCCAGCGATAATCAAGAGCGAGTATGAGTATCTCGTAAATATCGCGGAAATAACATATCGAAAAGAAAATGACGACGATTTTACGTTGACGATAAACGCGATAAAACTCATGTAATATCAAACGCGTTTCCTTCCTATAACGTTGCGCACGTGCGCTATCTAAAGGACGCGTCGATTTCGCGTTAATTATTGACGAAACGTGCGGAAAATCTAATGTCGTAACTTATAGTAATTCATTTAACCGCGATCATCTTCCTCATCCTACCTTCCTCATCCGATGGTAAAAGGGCGACGTAAACGAATCTGCTTCGAGGAGGCGTACGATAAGACTTAATCGTTTCTGCTAAATTCGTATTAAAAAGATTAGCTTATCTCAAATTTACACCAAACGGACATTTATATTAGATCAGAGAGAGCTCCATGCGCCGAAATTTTGCTCTAAACTAAAGACCAAACGGGCCAAGTTGTTCAAACAAGAAAAAGGGGGAGGAGAGGACAAGAAAGCGCTTCAAAGTTAAAGAACTTTTATCGCGTGCGACGCCGCTAACGAGCTACTGATCCGATGTACTTTTTTTTCGGAAAATTTTTATTTCTCTTTGAGACGGAGAAGCAAGAAAGAAACTCGAGAAGCAGAAGGGACCGCAGCGAAGTTCATGGCGCTCGGAATTCAGAGACTGACGCGGACGTGTCGCGTGTGTTCGTTAACGAGAAATTACTTCGCTTTCGTTTAATCAGATTCACCATCAATTAGCGGCCCTGGGCCCCGGTTAACAAGGACTGTCACTCATTTCAGGTGGTTCAGTTGGTTACCGTGTCAGGTGAGGGCCGAACCGGATATCTGCAGCAGCGATTACGACGGCGTTATCCTGGTCTCAGGATGTCCGCCCGGCACCAACGAGCCCGAGCCCTTCAAAACCGTCCTATACGCCGCGGCGCAGATCGATGCCGGGCTGGGCGTGCTCGGCGCGGTTTTGCCCATCAATTTGCCGGCGAAAAGGCTCATTTACAGTCCAACGGGTACGATTAACATGGATTATCACGACGTGCGGAGTTTCGGCGAGGCCGCCGAGCAGGGAATGAAACGGTAATACCTCTATGTGTGATTCCTCCCCTCACCCACCCGCCCCCGTCTCGCGCGCTTTTCCCTTTGCTCTTTGTCCTATTTCTTTCTTTTGTATATACATGTGTGTGTGTGTGTGTGTGTGTGTATGTGTGTATTTCTCTTTGGCTTACCGCGAGCAACAACAAAAGGGCTTCGCGGCCGCATGGGATGTATTTTACGAATGTGTTATCGGCACGTCCCACTGGCTCTTTTAAAAATCTCTAGCTTTGCATGTATGCGCACGTACGAAGGACGAAGGGCGGCGTGAATGAGCGGCGATCGGCGGACGTTTCTGATCACGCGCGACGCGTCCGAGAATTCACGTACGACACTTTAATAGCACCTCGTGAAGCTTAAATAATGACGCGCGGATTTCAAAGGTCAAGCGACTAATCGCTACGTGCGCACGCTGATTCACGGACATTTGCCGGTCGTCCATTGCGATCGCAATATTTTCGCTTTCTCATCGGACTTCATCACGTATCGTTAAAATTGTATACTCTCTCCGAATGGTTAGCAAATTTAAAATGCTTATAGACTTCAAAAATATATGCTTATAGTTTTGTTGTCTCAAAAAACGCTTATAATCGTTATTGTTACGAGATTGTTGCGTTTATTTTCCGCGATATGTGCGAATAAATAAACACCGTTCGCTTTTATTTACCAAGATAATTGCGATATAAGAGTGCACGTATGAGATGTTTAAACAATGTATGGCCGCAAAAGCGTTGACCAATAAAATCGATCAACGTAAACATGAAGTGATCGATAGTTCCGTGCACACTGACGCAATTTCGATACGCATTGGTCGCTGCTCGAAGCAATTAAGGAACCGCACTGAATAAATAGTCCAATTAAATAATTCTATGGTCTGAATTAAATGCAAAAGGAATGGCTACAGAACGTTACATTTATACGCAAATATCTTCACCGAAAAATAAAATTATATATTGAGCACTCGCCACTCGTGAAATATTGAAAAATATCAGATGATGGTAATATAAATATATAAAATGTTTATGAAATCAAGATAAATATTTGAACGAATAATTCCTTAATTGTTTCGAGTAGTGTGTTTCGTTAAGCAACGCATACATATGCACACGTACACAAAGAGAGTTCTGCAGTGAAAAATATGGAATTTTATAATCAAGAGACGTATAAACGTATTTTATTTTAATTTACTATCATTGTACTTCACGTGTGCTTTATCTATATTTGAAAAACGGAGAAGTGGTATGTTATGAAAAAATTGTTTACTGTGTTTCTCAGCAAGATAACCTCTATTGACAACCCATCTCGTCAATGGTAGAAAAAACATGGTACAATTGAAAAAAATATAAAAACGAAAAAACATGTAATATTCTCTCTTCTTGTGTACGTGCGACAAACCCAATATGCAGAATCTGCATGAAACGTAAATCACATTGATTTCAAAACGAAGCATTGTAAAGACCCATCACCCAAAATTCCACAATTCATGACTCACCGAACCGCTGTGAGGATCGGCCGCATTCAGCTACAAGACCTGGAACAAAAAGAAAACAATCGTATTACTTGAATTCGGGCGTCTGGCTTAACGAACAGACGCGCGTAGGAACACGAGGGAACGATTAACCCTTTCGCGATCGTAATTCACGGCTCATTCTAAACCCGTCTAGATCCCCGGCTTTCTTCGACAAAGGGTTACAAAGACAAATCGCGAGAATCTGTGAACTCGCTCACCTTCGAGCTGATCCTACTCTGCCCGAACCGGATCCGCCGGTACCGCATCCGGGCGTCCGCACGAACCGCATCTTCCGCATCGTCCGCATCCTCTTCCTCGGCAAAAGACCCTGCCAGATCTACAATGAGAAACGATATTTTCGATTAATCACGATTGGTGACGAGACGATCGCCTCTCTCCTCCCCCCCACCGCACAGGCGAAGAGTTAGGTTAGGTTAGGTTAGGTTCGGTCATGTTAGATCGCGAACTTTCGAGCGCGCGTTTCGCCGCAAGATTCTCGAAAAAGCAAGGATAATTGGTCTCACCTGGCCGGTCTCACGATGCTCCAGCTGCTCATGATGATCTCGATACAGAAAACGCCAGATGGAACGCGGTATATTTACACAAACACTCCCGCGCAACATTCACCTTCTAGATTCTAGAAGATCCTTTAGCGCGCGCGCTGTTGCCGTACGTGCTCGTTCGCCCGCGCTCGCGTTGTTTTGGCGCGCAATTTACCGAAAGCTCAAGCGCGCGAAGGGTCGGTAACCTTCAACGTGAGGACGCACGTAGATATTGTTTACTGTTGATCGCTTTTACGCACGCGATGTCCCCGAGATCCGTATCACGCTAACGTCTAAAGCTTAAATAATTTTAACACTGCGTCTCTCTTGTCGTTCATATACAGGCTGCTAATATTATCTCTCTCTATGATATTCTAGCAGGTTGATGCTCTCATTCAACGCCTGTGCTCAATTTTAATTCACGTCCGAGTCCTTTTTCGAAAGATTTCGTTATTGCCGTCTCTTTGATTTACGATGAGAATATTTATTAGGATTTCGCATGCTTTCTAATCGTGAAATTTTTTTCTACGACTCGTCAGTATTTTCAATAATCTGTTTCTGTCTGTTTTATTAAGACAATTTTTTGAGTTTTAAACCTAAATTATTTCAGATCTTCTTTATTTCTGTTCCACAGGTGCGTGAAAATTTTACTTTGTATTTGACCTTAAATTCGTATTTACTTAAGTTAAATGAGTATTAAACTCGTTCATAAATAAATAAATATTACGGTATTACGTACACGAGATTTCGCGCTTCTTTTCATTTGCTCATCCTTTTATTTTTAACCGTTTAAAGCCGATACGCTTCAATGAAAAACGTATCGAACGCTTTTTGACCAAAGACCGTGTATTTATAGCGAATTAAATCTCGCGAATGCAAATGAATCGTGCAGAGTCGAAATTTCACCCGTAGGATTTATCACAGAATAATATGTTACGCCGAGCATTAATGAATCGCGGTAATAAGATAGCGTTCTCTTAAATCCTCATTAAAAAGCGAGCCGCCCCTGAAGTTAGTCGAGAAATTCGCGAATGAGAGGATGAAAGGTAAAGCCCGAGCAAACTCATGGATATATCCCTTACAAAAGTCAGCGCTCCTCGATACGGTAAATCGTCCGAAATTTAGATTCCTTGAATCTTCGGCCGGCGAGAACACTCGTTCGCACCTGCAATTACGAGCCGAGACAGTTATTCGTTATTCCGGCGCTTTATATGCCGCCACCGACGCCGCTAGATACGTCCCGGTTATCTGCCATTTCGAGAGTCGACATGGGAACTACCACGTCGACGTCGTCGACAACGACGACGACGACGACGACGACGGACAAAGGAGACGCAGCGACGTTATAATAGCACGACGCTATTAAAGCGACGAAGCGCTGATGCACTTACCCGGGCATCGCCGCGAACACGTCCACGTCGCTGAGCCCGCTCGTAAGCCCGCGTGTCCTCATCTTCCTGCACCTTCGACAGGTACACCTTGCGTTTCTCCTTCGCGCCGATTCATCATTACGTCCGCGCTCGTCAACCTCTACTACCGATCGTGTCGACGCACACTACTAGAAATATTTTCACCTCGTCCGACTTCGTCCTTTTCCCCACCCTATTTTTTTCATTTTCACGTGACTGCAACATCAATCATCGAGCGTAGCTCGACGGTAACGTCAATATTTATACTGCTTCTAATAAACATTGTCCGATCTGGCAGAGGGCACTTCATGAAATTCAGTTGTAATTGTGTCCATGCGGTGGGGTTTAACAGGACCGTGCGGAGGGTTTGCCTTTTCAATGTTAGCGTGTAATTGGACTCGGCGAGCGTATCCAACGGCTCGAGTTACTCCCGCGTTTCCCGCATGTCGGATGCGATTTGCATACGTTCGCGAAAAAATGCATTAAGCGCGTGCGTTTCCACCAAACCCCCTCAGCCTCCGATTTTCCTCCTCTCTCCCTCTCTTTACTCTACTCTAATTCCCGTTTATTCCCGACATAATTAATCGAAGGTCCCTCGATCGGCGCCGTTGCGCCACAAGTATCGGCCTGCGTTATCGCGCGACGTTATCGTGCTCATTTTGCATAGCAAATAACGAGCGAAATGACTCCGAGAATGATTGCCGGACACGCATTTCGTTTGCGCAAACGGTCGAATAGAGAAAATATACGAAAGTGAACGGAATTCCGCGCGAGACGCATGTTCGTTGTCTCGCAAAATTCGATGAGAAGATTAAATTCCCGCCTCTTTAGCGCGACCGTTCTCGTCGTCGTCGTCTTCCTCTCTCTCTCTCTCTCTCTCCCCCCTCTCCCCCTCCCTCCCCTCCCCTCCCTCCCCCTCCCCCTCCCCCTCCCCCTCTCCCTCTCCCTCTCCCTCTCCCTCTCCCTCTCCCTCTCTCTCTCTCTCTCTCTCTCTCTCTCTCTCTCTCTCTTTTACAATATATATGGATTGTTTGGAATATTTTTCGACTCCGAATCCAGGACGCGAATAAAGGACTGAAACGGTCCGCCTCGAATGAGAGAAACAAATAGCAGAAGGGAGATCGGAGATCGCCCGTAAAATGACGCGTTGTGCAATGGCGACGTCTGTTTCTTCATCCTAATGATGAAAAATATCCCGTGGTCTTGAGAATCAGCAGAAAGTGTTCCACAGGGCGTCAGCGGCGGCCGATAAACGAGATAAGCGTCGCGCCGCTGCTCCGCCTCGTGCCGGAGATATATGCGGCGATTAATAAGTACGTGCGATGTAGAAACGAGCAACGAACAGGCGGTGCGAGCCGGCTCGGGACCGGTACCGGAGACGAACGGTAACGAGAAACAGGCGAAGAGACGTACGGCGTCGGCATTTCTCGACAGATCGGTTCTCCTCGGAGGAAGACGCTCTCTCTCTCTCTCTCTCTCTCTCTCTCTCTCTCTCTCTCTCCCTCTCTCTCTCTCTCTCTCTCTCTCCCTCTCTCTCTCTCTCTCTCTCTCGCGAATCTCATCGTTGCCCCGACCGCCCCGGCAAAATTGCCGTCGTATCCCTTCGTATTCGCGCGACAACGCGGCGCTCCTTTCGGAATCCTCTCGGAATCGCGGAATAATAACAGGCCGTTGGCGATTCTACGCCCCTCGTTAATATACGAGACTCGAGTCGATCGGTCCGTGGTAGAACTGATGATTCGAGAACCGCAAAGATCTGAGCGTGCACGAAACAAGAGAGGAAGAGAGAAAAAATTCCTCGAGATTTCCAAACGTAATGCTCGATGCTATTTCAAGCGTGGGATCGATAATCCTTTGATTTTCGCGAGAACAAGAAGGAGAACGAAAGAGAGAGAGAGAGAGAGAGAGAGAGAGAAGAAACGGCTGCGCGATTATGTCTGTGTTACGCGAGACAGCACGAAAATTGGACAGCGCGAAGGGTTCGCGAGAATGACGCGATTCGTGTCTTAGGGTTCTCGATGAGATCCGCGGCTTTCTCCCCTTGAGCATCTTTTTCTCTTCTCCCTTTCTCCCGCTCATCTCTCTCTCTCTCTCTCTCTCTCTCTCTCTCTCTCTCTCTCTCTCCCTTTCCCCGTTCTCTTTTTTGTTTGTCGGGCTGAAACACATAAGCGTTCCTTCAGAACCCTTTTTACACTTTTATGGAATGACTTACTAGTAATGAGTAGTCTTGGTAAATTGAAGGCCGTCATTTGAGACTCTTGATAGATATAAAACTGCTTCATTTGAGCCTCTATTGAAGTGATATCTGCATCAGTGCACGCCTGAACCTTTTATCTAAAAGAAACTTTTATTATCTAAAAAATGTCTCCGTAACGGTGGTAACGCAGTCTTTACGTCGCTCCACAAAGAACTTCCAATTTTCTATTAATCCAGTCTCTTCTTCTCGAGCGCTTGAAGGGTAATTCTCCCACAGCGTGTAATAAATCTGTCCATCTACCTGTATATCTATCTACCATCTCTCTCTCTCTCTCTCTCTCTCTCTCTCTCTCTATCTATCTATCTACTATCTCTCTATCTCTCTTTTTGTGGGCGGACGTCCGTATCCTGCCGGGATATGTAGTATCGCCGGCGGCTCTCACGCGCTACTGATATTATTGCGCTCTCGCGATATTCGCCGACGATCGGCCAGCCATCGACGTCATCGGTGATACGGTCGCGCCATAATTACGGTTGAATTCCCGCCGAGTTGGCCCTCGAGCGGCCTGTATGCGCGCCGATAAATGCCTTTCCCACGTCCAAATCCCGTCTCCAGGGCCCGCCTTGATCCTTTGCCGGATTCTTAGATTGGCAGCCCTCCGTTTGTCTATCAGCCTGTCAGCGGGAGAGCCGGCCACTTGATCCTGCCCGTTAACATCCTTCCCTTTAACGAACGATAGGATCGTCGAGATCTTCCGACAAATGGGAGAAAATATTGCCTCGCGCGCGAGTTCACGCACGCACGCACGCACGCACGCGAGGACGCACGTGTCGTTGGCGGCTGAACTGAGATACGATCTTGCTTGAAAAGATCCCGTTTCCGCGGCACCCGCGACCGGATATCACCGCGATACGTCCGATTAACTCCCTCTCCCTCCCGTCTCTCGTTTGCCGTTGATTTCATATTTTTTTCTCGCTCATCAGGGCGTTGCAAGCTGGCGTGAGACAGCCGTTGCTGGTGCTGCTGCCCGATGAACGTTTCGAGAATGTCGAGATGGTCACGCTGCTCGGCTGTTTGGAGGCCCTCTACGTGGTAAGTTCCCCAACAAGCGAATTATTCCTCGCAAAACTGACACGTTGAAGTAATATTATGACAAGTGTATCGTGCGCTTCGAGATTGTTCCTCGCCAAATATCAAACTATCTATCTCCCTCGCGAACAACGTGGGTGAAATTGGTTCGAGAATGGTTCTGGACATTCAACGTCGCCGATTCGTCTCTTTGGAGAAGCACTCGACGCGACTCGGTCGCTCTCAATACTGTTGATCGTCGCGATTTACAAAGTGCTTTTACAAAGGGAAGAATCGGTGATGATCGTAGAAGCCTAACCTGTGAACTTTTGTCAAAGACAGACAAAAATAAATGACTGCAATTTGAGAGATACGTACATACAGCTTTTACCTCGTTTGATCGATTCTCCTCATCAATGGCCGAAGAATTTCACGGAAGCACTCAACGATACTTGACACGTAACTTGATAAGACAGAGCGATGTGGCAATATCGGTCGACGACGACCACCGCGGCGGTCGGACGTGTTAATTCGAGCAGCAGGGCGCGAGTTAAATTTGGAAAAGCGATTTCAAGTTCCTCGGAAAGATCGCCGGGCTGCGGAGCGAAGTCGCGGGAGGGGGGAATCGATGAGCGCGCGAGTGCCGCCGCGCTCGATCGCGGCAATATATCCGGTTAAGGTATTTCGCAGATAGTTGGTACAGTTGTGGTTACACGAGAGCCGTTTAAACCAATCAAACAGATACAACACAGCTTTGTGCGCACGTACGGCGCGGCAGAATGGGAAAGCCCGGTAGTTGTATTTGGAAGGAATTCAGCCCCCGCGCTGTTTCAGCCGAGTTTGGTGCGCTGCGGTCTGATTGGCTCCCCCCGTGCTCGAGTTGCGCTCGCCCCGTACTAACCCTCGTAGTAAATCCCAGTCTACCTTGTCCCGAAACTAAATTGCCGCCGCGATCTTAATCCACAACTAATGACGTGACGCGATGGCAGCGCGCGCGCGTGCGATTCCACTAAATCGCTCGATATTTTATATATCCGGAAACGCGAATTAATTCCAGCCGTTCGCGTCTCTCGCATCTCTCGCCGCCCGCACATCCCGACGGGACCTCGTTCGCGAAAGCTCGCTCGCTTGGTCGCGCCTAATTACCCGACCCGAGACCTTCGCCCGGATATTCATTATTTAACGATTACGGTAGAAGCCGCCGGGATACGCGGGTAATTTGCAAACGCTCTCTGCAAACGGGAGCTGTTACGACTCCCCCGGCTGATTGGTCACGGACGGAGCCGTATCCGCCGCATCGCCGTGTCCGACTTCTCCGCCAAAGCCGCTGCTTTTTGTCGCGACCGACAGCGCAGTTTCGCCGCGACGACGCTTCCACGACGGATTCTCGCTATCCGTCTCTGGCAGACGGGAGTTCGTCGATTCTCCGTCAAATATTTCTTTCACTTGGAGGACCTGGAGACGTCACGGCCGCGGGTACTGTGGATATTCTAACGTAAAAACATTGAAGAACAGAGGATCTGGAGAGAGAGAAAGAGAGAGAGAGAGAGAGAGAGAGAGAGAGAGAGAAAGATACACACAGGGTGATCCGAAATTCCCGCATTCGATTAATCCCAGTCGCTTTTGGGGTTGACCTTGAATAATTTTTTTTCGTTTTTCAAATTCTATTTTATCAGTGCCACGGATGCACCATTTTTTGAGCGTCATTCTGTAAGCAAGGGACAGGCATATTTCGAAACATCTCATTAAACAATGGAGCGGAGAAATTCCAAATAATAAAGCATGTTCATCTATGTGACGATTAGATAAATCAAGCTGTTTTCGATCCTTAGGTGTTGCTTTGCAAATATAACACGTCATACTGGAAGTGTCTGTCAATGCGTTTCATACCTTTCCGTCAGCCATCGTCAATAACGTTTTGAAATTTACTGTGATTTTAAATGATTCGTTCAACTTTAATGAGACTAATTGTCTTATCTGCGAAGTCACATACTCTTCTTCAGTTTTAATAATGGTCGCAGTTTCTTTCAGAAATTGAAAACGCAATGGCCTATCTTACGCAATATATCTTACGGAAGAAGGTCGAGGATTGGTCCACAATACAGATACGTTTCCATTACGAGCTACATATCTAAGCTGTAATGAAACGAGCCATGTTGCAAAGAGATATTTATCTACAATTTCCAAATTAGAAGAAGTATTCTGCTTGTACTGAGAGTGTCCAGACGAACCATCAAAGCCCCATTTAACGATCAATTCCTGATATCTAACCTAATATCGATTTTCATCCACTGTGATACGGCTCTGTTGTGATTAGTTTACATCTTAAAACTGTACTTAAGACAATCTTAAATAACAAGAATCAACTATGAACAATATCGGGATTTGACTTGCTTCCGTATTGTATTGCTCAAATAATGAAAAGTTAATAAAATAAGTACTGCCTTTATTTCTTACGCAATAAATAAATAAAAAATTGTCTGATTGCACAATATCATCAGAAAGTAAAGATCTGAAAATAAAAATGTAAATAACAATATGCTCTGCGAGTTGTGAAACCCCGGTATTGTTTATAGTTAGTTTTGTTATTTAAGATTGTCTCAAATACAGTCTTAAGGTGTCGTAAACTAATCGCAACAGAGCCGTATGAGCATCTTAACCGTTTGAGTCCCAGGGGGTATTGAAAAAACACTGTCGAAGAATCCCAAACAGCGCAACCGCGCTTTCTATAAATGAGTATGAAAAGACCCAAGCAGCGCGATAGCGCTTGTTCTATTTTAGGTCGAGAAATACCAAGCAGCGCGATAGCGCTTTGTTTATTTTACATCGATGAATCCCAATCGGACCAATACCGCTTCTTGTATTTGTTAGGTAACGCGATTCTCGTCTTTTTCTCATCGCTCTGTCACATTTATTGTAGTTTGCAAAGCGATCGGACGTATTCTTGCGTAAGTGTTTCTCATTGTTAATAATTGTGTGTTTCAAAATGATTAGACGAAGCAACGGAGCAACGAAGCAAAAGGAATCCATCCAACATGTTTTGATAAACACCGATGTTACAAATTATAATTGTTACTCTCCATTTAAATTATTTGTTCATAACACAAAAATATTGTTAATTTGTAATTCGTTATTTTATAAAATACATCTGTATTATTACATATGCGTACTGTAAATTTATAAATATTTCAAGTTTTGTTCGATAAAAATTATTGAGAAGATAACAATGAAATAAAAATTTTTATTTTGTAATGTATTATTGCATTATTATAGTATTATTCTACCTATTATAAAATGTACTATTTACATTAAAAGGATCGGTGTGATATACTTGCTTCAGTAAATCTGAGCGCGCGACTTCGACAATCGGTAACGCACCGTCAGTTGTCCACAATGATCGAAATGTACTGGGTTTTCTCGACATAAAATCTGAACAGCGCGATCGCGCTGCTTGGGACTCAAACGGTTAAAAGACTACTTATGAATACCAGCCACTGACTAGGTACACGCGAATGAGGCGCACCGCGCACGCGCCGCGACCCTGAGCGCTACATAAACAAGAGCGCTTATTCGTCTTTAACTTTAACACGCTCTTCTGCAAAAACTACTTGTCGAACGCAATTTTGCTAAAGGACAAAGTTGTTCATCCTAGTATAAAATATCATGTCCTCTACTCCGAATGCGGGAATTTCGGATCACCCTGTAGAGAATCTCCGGAATGTACAGATGTTAGACGATTGAAGTCGAAAATGGGGGCAGAGTTTCGTCCCGGGAGACGACCGACGACGTTCCGGGATCCCGCGCAGCGAGTTGTCGCTGCCGTTGTCGCCGTCGCACGCTCGCGCTCACATCTTGAATGAACGGATCATCACAGCGCCGGACGAAGGGACGAAAGGACGATGGACGTACGGGCGGCAAAGTGCACGCGGTCAACAATGGCCATCGAGAGCAACACCTGTCACCGGCAGCCGTCGGCGGCGGGCTGCGCTTGATGGATAAGTGTGTGCGCGCGTGCTCGCACGCGCGCTCGCGCGACGTGTCTTAGACCGGGTCGGCGTGTGTAAGTCAGGATATCGGATTGCGGGTTGCGCAACTCGATTGCAAGCTCCATTGTTCATTAACCTCGACGCCGCCGCGGTTAATTACGGTCGGACGATAGTATCCGCGTTATTATGCGAACTTCGAAGTCGGAAGTTACCCGGCAGCGCGGCTATCGCGCGCACTCGGGAAATCGATTCGCGCGCTCGTTCCTGCGAAGGCGGAGCGACCTCGGCTTCTACGGCGCGACGAAGGGCGCGATCCGCCGCTGTTGATCGGTCGTATCCTCGGTGTCGACGATCGACCGCCGACGAGGATAGAACTGTCTGAAAACTATCAGCCTTGGGATCGTACTTTTGTGATCATACACGCACACGTAGAAGGGAAAATATAATTCTATCACGGAGAAAAACAATTACTCGGTTTACTTTTCATCCTTGGGCTAGTGGTTATCTTCGACGAAGAATATTTTCTTCATGATAATAAAATAAGCTCGTCGGAAATTTCAGGAAAGCTCACCGTCATGCACTCCGAAACACAAGATTTATCTTTCAAGAATATTATAAAATGTATACTTGTAGGAAATAAATTCAATTTTTTTCATTTCTTTTCTTTCGTATTTTAACTCGAATATATCTCTCTGCGAGTACCAAAGGGAAGAAATTGAGGAAGGATAATGGTATCGATCTTTTCAAGCCATCTGATATAAATTTCTGGATATTCATGCTTCGTGAAACATGCACTTCCGCGGTTATACGTATCGTGCATTGCGTTCGACGCAAAATTTTCCGATAGAGTGTTATTAAACAGCGAAATTTTTCGCTGTTTAATAGACATGAAATGTCACGCCGAGTCTTTCGTGAGACCGACTGACTTCTATCACGTCGACGACGATCCTCATCAGGTGAATGTACGTATTTGCCACCCCGCGATCGCGAACTACTCGCTCCCGTTTTCTGAAAATATTGCGAACTCTACATCGCGTTTTTCCATCGCGACGTCCTCATCGTAAGAGGGTCTCGTCTCGTGTTTTGGCAGCGTTAATATAGATTGAGAAATATCCCTCTAACCTAATCTAGCATAGCAAATATCTTTTAATTAATATTATAGCGATGTACCCCGCGCGTGTGTTCTCGGAAATGCGGTATTATTCCAAGATGAAGCTGCTTTTTCTGGGATAATGGCAACAAAAGCAATTCACGTGACATAGGAATAGCTCATTCGCGTGGCGTGCACGGCGGAGAGTACAGTGGCTTAAAAAAACAGTCCTGGCGTCCGTAACAGAGAATCGGTATAAATTCACGGGAGCTCGGAAACAAATTACTCCTTTGTCGAGTCGCAATTTCCAATGACGTGTAAACGTTAACATCGCGCTCATCGCAGGAAGAGGAAGAGAGAGAGAGAGAGAGAGAGAGAGAAGGAGAGAACGGGAAGCACAGTTGGCGTAGTAAGAGCAAAATAGCGGTATCTGGAACGACACTCGGCGTTTCTTGTCGAAGATCAAAGACGAAGGGGCGGTGACTTTAAGCCGATAGAACAAGGGTAGTTGGTAAAGAAGAAGGAACCTTGCCCGTGGCCAGTGTTTGGATTACACGCTAGACAGAAGGAGAGAAGTGATTGGCCTTTTTCCTCTCTCCGCTCTGGCCCTTTTTCTCTCTTTCTTTCTTTGTCGGATTTAACCTCACGATTTAAGATCACGAGAAGTCGAGTCTCTCGGAGCAGCGCAGTGAGGAAGAGAGAGAGAACTTTGTTACGCGTGTAAAAATGACACGCGGCTACACGAGACTAACGATCCGAATGTGCGCGCATAATTGTTGTCCCCCGCTCGTCTCCTTGTCCCGCCGCGCGCGTAAAAATGTTATTCACCGCGGTGAGGTTCGAAATCCCCGCAAAATCCTTAATTGCGCGGAAGTCGAGCCACGTTATTACACGCGCTCGTGCACGATACGTTACTGTTGCGACATGTATCGCGCTGTTGTGAGAAATATGTAACCGATCGTACTCGCGTGCGAGCGAGCGAGAACGCGCCGAACCGTCATACGTTTCCCCGCGAAATTGGGCCAATTTGATTTGTTGGTAATTCGATATTACATTCGCCACATGCGAGTTCCGAGAGAACGGCGCTCGCGGTATTTAAAAACGGCCGTCGACCGCCCGCGGATGCGTTCATTGTCGGCCGACGCGAAAATGCCGGTCGCGCTATCGATAACGTTCCGACTCGCCGGAACAAACCGATCGGATTCTCTCGATATTTTAATCACACGGCCGATATTCAATCTCGCGCCCGCGAAATTCCGCCGCACCGTTTCGTGTCGCCTCGTTTTACGCGGCTGGCGTCGCGATCCTTCGTCCTTACGCGGCGAACGCGCTCTCGACATTTTCTTGCCAGAGACACATGCTCCGCGGCGGATTGTAAACCTCGCACAACGGTGGTGGGGGGACGCTCTCGTATAACTCGGCAGAGGTAACATAATGGGCATTCCTGTCCCCCTTAAGTTCAAGGACCAAAATTCTAAGTTTGGGCCGCTACCCTCGCGCCCGCGGACGGAGGAATAGTCGGTCGCGAAGGACGGAGCTTGTTTGCGGGGTAGGAACGGCGGCGGTGGTGGCGACGACGACGGGACGCAGCCCCAGAGAGGGTCAGGAGGACGTTGCTGTAGGAGGGGGAGGGGGGATGGGGGAGACGAGCCAAGTGCTCTGCCCTATCAAGAGTAGCAAATGCTTGGCGTTCCTGAATCCTGGCGGCCGGCGAGGCGACCTAATTAGCGAAATACTCGGGCCTTCTCCCGCTTTACGTTCCCCTCTCCCTCTCTCTTCCTTCCACCCCGATCGCTTCATCTAACCCCCCGGCTGTTCTTCGACTGTTCTCACCACGACACCAGGCGCATCGTCGGCACCATATATACTTCTTTCCTGATACCTGAAAATCTCCTCCTCCGCGCCTTCCTCCCCTTCGGTCCTCTTTTCCTCGTACGTTGCTCGTTCCTTCCATCCGACGCAAATACGGGGCATCGTTTTCCAAATACCAGGAGACGCCCTCGGAATTTCTGCGCCGCGTAATCGGAACGCCGCCGCCGCCGCCACTGTCGTCGTCGTCGTCGTCGTCGTCATCGTCGTCGCCCTCATCGTCCTCGTTGTCGTCCTGAATATCGTGTCGGTTGCTCTCTCTCTCTCTCTCTCTCTCTCTCTCTCCCTCTCTCTCTCTCTCTCTCTCTCTCTCTCTCTCTCTCTCTCTCTCTCTCTCTCTCTCTCTCTCTCTCTCTCCCTCTCTCTCTCTCTCTCTCTCTCTCTCTCTCTCTCTCTCTCTCTCTCTCTCTCTCTCTCTCTCTCTGTCTCTGTCTCTGTCTCTCTCCGCCTTTAGTCTCTTTGTTCACGGCTGTCTGCCGCAGTTTCCTGACTCTTTTGATTCTTCGCCACACGCAAATATTCGTGGAGTGTGAGGTGGCTGACCGCCGGCGGCCGTGAGCATTTCGTGTTACCTGGTCGCGGAATCATTTGTCTGTTTCTGCCGATGGGAGAACAGTCGAAAACGTGGCGTGGAAAAAAAGACCAGTTTGCCGATGCTCCCCCGATTCCGCCACGTGCAAAAATGCCGGGAATGTTCCCTTAAATTTCAGAGCCGCGAAACGTGATCGAGTAATTTCAGCACAAACTTAAGCGCGCATATTTCAAGCGCGTTCGGACGGTGAAATGTTATATCCCGCGAGGTATCGAGATTTTTTTAAAGCACACACACACACACACACAGGAGAGGGTGTCAATCAGTCAGCCACTTCGCACGGAAAATCTTTTGCTTTGGCTTCACGCGGAGAGAGAAAAAGAGAGACAGCTGGCAGCTGCGGATATTATTGATAAAGTGCTCGGCGCACGAGAAGATTATCGCAGATGCGATAGATTCCTCGCTTTGACGTTCGAGCGATGCGACGAGCGACATGTGACAAATCATTTAATGAGCGGACAACGCTTAATGTCTATGCAGCAGAGAATAGAAAACAACGTCTCTTTTCCTTTTGGATCCCACGAGGGAAAAAAGTTTGCTCTCGATTTAACGTGATAATGAGCGGACCGAGCGCAGTTTGCTCGAAGGAAACGGAATTCCCGGCTGAATCTCTTACAAATGAAGCTCGCTTGTAAGATTAAAAAATTCAGATTTCCTTCCACCAAAGGGCAAGGGGGCGTGTTCGGTTCGTTCATTGCCACATTAATTGAGCCAAACATTTTCCCGTCGTCGCGCTTACAAAGGAGTTCGCTCAGAAAGTCGCGTAGATATATTTCGAGATCTTGCCACTTGTACTAATAATAATAATAATAATAATAATAATAATAATAATACTGAAAATGATGACAATAGGGGCATTTCTAATTTTCAATTGGTGACGATACTTTCGCAGCCCCTGGAAGTGCGGGAGATATGTCCGGAGCGATGCTGCAAGGCGTATCACCTCGGGGTGTGGGGTCCGATTTGCAGTAAGAAGCTTCAGAGTATCGTGAAACTCGCGTTGGCGCTCGAGAGCGGCAGATTCATCGCAAGGGACATCGGTAAGTTCCGTTCTCCAAGCACCACTACCACTACCACCACCACCACCATCACCACCAGCGAGTACATATCCACACATGGCTGGTACTTTATATCAAGTGTGCCGAGCAAGTTTTCCCGTCCGCGCGTAGGAAGAGAGAAGTCCGGCTCGAGTTCCGTCGCGAGTTTCCGCTTTTCGCGCAAGAAATAAGCTTCGGAGAGGAAAACCGCTCGCGGCTATCCGCCTGTCCAATAGCACAGGGGGGTTGAGGGGAAGAGGGGTCCTTTGGCCGCTTTAGTTAATCGAGCGTAACCCGCGCCGCCGGTGCCGCCGCCGCCGCTTCAGGTTCATTCGCGAGACGGCTCCGGGGAATTATCGAGTTTGAAGTTGTAAGTGGCCGACGATTTGGCGAATTTAAGTGTTCATTTTTAATGTCGCGCGCCGCTCTCGCGAGCCGGCCCCGAAGCAGTTGACGATAATTGGCATTTCCGCGACGTCTCGCGAGCATTTATCCTCCGCCGCGCTGCTTTGCCGCAGCGCAAAGCGTGCACAGCTTTGCCTCGCGCACAAAGCTGTCTCCAGCTCTCTTTCTCCCCTCCTCCCCCTATCCCTCCCTCTCTCGATGCTCGCTCCCATGGCGAAACGAGGAGCGGCTGGCTGGGTATAACGCAATTTCGTAAAGTAAACCTTGATGACCCGACCGGTGGCCGCGGGCTACGCCGCGTCTAAATTCGTATGTGTACCATGCGAGCGAAGGATAAATGACAAGCGGCCCGGCGGATTTCTCAGACATCCTGCGCGACTCGCGGTCACATGGGACCGCCGACGTCCTCGTTTGGCTTAATCCGAGACGTGAAACGCGCGTCTCGACCCGCTGACGAGCTTCTCCAGATGGACTTTTATGATCGCGTATGCAGACAAGCGGGATTTTTCTCCCGTTATTTAAACAAACGAATAGCGTGAAAGAAGTTAAATAAACGAATCGTCACGAGGTCGGACAGTCGACAATGGAAAGAGTTTCTATTACCGCGGTGTATCTATGGAACAAATCGTATTGCATTGAACTAATCCTTAAATTCGCATCATACGGTGACGTGAACTTCCCGTTATATTGGTGCAGCTGCAAATTTACCGAAAGCCGCTCTGAGATTTTCATGTTACATTTCACGTATTAATTAGGAATGTCAAAATGAATGCCGAGTAACGTGTGTAATTCCCATGTTACAGTTTACGTTATTGTTTGGAGGAAATTTCGACAACATTTTCATATTCCTCTCGCGTTTCACGCATTCATAAGGGATACACGGTCTTTGTACATTGACTAGCAAAGTCGTTAGCAAATTTGCATACACGTGGGCTTATCCTACTTGTTATTACGTTGTTTGCGATGCGTTCGACAATGGCACGCTGAATTTCATTCAACAGAGATTATTGAGATTATCGAGATTACTGTCGCATCGACGTACCGTCGTATTTACCGTTTCACCTGCTTTTTCTTCTTTTCTCTTCTTCCACCGATGAGGATATTCATTATGGCGCTTTCCGGTCAAGCGACGCCAACGAGAGCCGGAGAATTAGATTAATAGATGGAACCGCCGCAAGGCGACCTCGTCAAGTACTCATGGTAATCATTGGTCGACTGATGAAAAGATATCAAATATCAAATGCATCTCCTTTTAGCATGAAAATAATTGGCCGGAGCGCGTTGGTCCCCTCGCGAGATACGGAGGAGGAGCAGCTCGGCATCTCGCGCTTCGAAGCGCGGCAGCGCCAAGTTACGCGAAGTCGCAAAGTTCAGCACCGCAGTCGAGAACGCGCGTTAAGCGAATTGCGCAAAGTGCAAACGTCGCAAATTAAATAATTAATTGCCACGAGAGAGAGAGAGAGAGAGAGAGAGAGAGAGAGAGAGAGACAGGCGATGTCGCCGGAAATAAAATAGCAATTACGGAGTGAAACATACATCTCGCCAGTCTGTTCGCGTTGAACAAACCTCGCAAGACCGAAGGAACTCGTATCGAAAGAAAATTAGGGAGAGGAAAACGAGAAGGGGAAGGAGAGAATCTTCGTCCCTATAATTTCCTCGTTGGGAAGAAATCAGCTCGGAAGTTCGATTCGCCGTTACACATTTGCTGCGTTGTCGCGGATTTGGAATTCACCCACTTCCTCACCCTCACCCCTGCCTCTCTTACTCCTCGCGCTCCTTATTCTCGTCCTCTGCCTCCTTCTCCTTCTCGTTCTGCCGCACCTCTGCTGCAGCTATTCGCATCCATTAATGTTTAACGGCGCACTCATCCCGTATTAAATTAGGCGGCGCCGACCCCGAGAGAATGGCACCCCCAAGGGTGGAGGAGTACCTGGCTGATGCGTTTTACGACTCGAACGTCACGATGCAAGTGATATGCGATCAGAAGACGCTGCTGCAGGAGTATCCGCTGTTCGCCTGCGTGAATCGCGCCGCCTCGGTGATAGCGCGCCACGCCGGCAGGATCATATTCCTGACTTATGAGCCGCCCACGTCCTGCGTCCTGGAGACGATCATGCTCGTGGGGAAGGGCGTCACTTACGACACCGGTGGCGCCGACATCAAGTACGGTGGCGTCATGTCCGGGATGTCGAGGGACAAGTGCGGCGCGGCCGCTTGCGCCGGGTTCATGCAGGTGCCGTAGTATCGTAATAGACGTAATATGTATACATGTGTGTGTGTGTGTGTGTGTGTGTGTAGGCATATTTACATACGCGTATTGCGCTGAGCGAGGCGAGTTATTGTTGCGCATCACGCCGGGACGCGGACACGATCGCGCGTTTTGCCCCGTTCTATTAGCAATCGGCGCGTTTTAATAAGTCAGCCGCGCGCGGGCTACGGAAGATCCTCACGGAATGATCATCGTACCAGCCGTAATTCTGTTCTTTACGGTATGGTTGCTAGCGCATTAATGGTCTCGCCGCACGCTCGCTCGTTCCCTGCGCCGCATACAGCGGCTATCTCGACTATCTCGACCCGCCGTTTCTCCGATGCGCCGCGATCGAGATATGGGCCTCGGATAGGTATCGTGTGTGTGTGTGTGTGTGTGTGACCGTGATATTCAAAAATCACCCTCACACCGCGGCCCCCTATTTTACTCGTGTATTTCAGCTGCACGCTTGTTACACGCGACGCGAAAAATAAATTTTCGGGAATTGTCACGAAAGCACTGAATTCCGCGAAAGCGCGCGGAACTTTTTGATCTTCGCCATTTCCTGACAAATCTCCGCCTCTTTTACCTCGCGAGGTATTCCAGCCATTTTCCCATAAATATCTGTGAAATATTTGCCGATACATCGGCCGATACGTTCGCCGCGCAGGGGACAAAATGATCGGCCCGCGCTGGACAGGAGCGAGATTTTTTATAATTACATCTTGCTCGTATGTATATGTGTTTTACAAACAATATTTAGCAACACGCTGTGTAAAAATGTGAAAACTCTTCGGGAACGATGGCGCAGTCAAATAATATTATTCTTCGGTTAATTTCTCCCGTGAGACAAATATCATCGCTCTCGAGCAATTTATAGGCGAAATCGGGCGTTTCGATTAAACGAAATAATGCAACGATAATGTTTGTTCTGCACCAACGTCGAAAGAGAAAATGAATTCAGTGCACTCACTGTTGCCCAGGGGTATACGATCGCTTTTTATCCACATCCGCGATAGAAATCATGATTCGCGCGACCTGTCGTCATGCGTGGCTCTCATCCTCGGCGAGCCGAGTGTCTCTTAACGATTGAACGCCTGAGGGAGCCTTAACGCATGAAAGACAAGATTCCTCGTTTTTCAAAACTCGAGCGCTAAGGGCCGCTGCTCACGAGAGTTTCCTCGTCTTCACATTTCATTACACGAAATAAGCGAACGCCAACGACGTTCGCGGGAGAGTAACTCACGCCGAGTAGTCTTCAGCGCTCGAGCTTTGAGAGCAACGAGAGACCGGGGTCGGGGGCTCTTTCATGTACCAATGTAATCATCAGCGCGAAGTCACTTTTACCGGAATTCGCCGCAGGTGGTAAATAGACTGAAGCCGCCGACGGTGAAGGTCGTGGCGGCGTTGTGCATGGTGCGCAACAGCGTAGGCGAGAACTGCTACGTCTCCGACGAGGTGATCACGGCGAAGTCGGGCATGAGGGTGCGAGTGGGGAACACCGACGCCGAAGGCAGGATGGCTATGGCCGACGCTCTCTACCACCTGAAGGAAATGGCCCTGAACGCGGTGAATCCGCATCTGTTCACGGTAGCCACGCTGACCGGCCACGCGATGTTGACCGTAGGCCCAGGATATACCGTGAGTACATCGTGAGGAAAGCGTCATTCAACGGGCTTGCAAACAACTCAGATACGCGCGCCGCGCGGCAGTTTCCTCTTCCGCTGTTCCGCAACTCCTCCCTCTCGTGATATATCGAATCCCCGGCGAAACTCGCGCCGCGCATCAAGACGCGCATGACTTCGTTATGAAGATTGCCGACGTTACGCACGGTATACCCCGCTATCCGGATGCTCCCGGATGCGCCGCCCCGTTGAAAGATGCTCCGTGTTTCCGGAGAGCTCCGGTTGCGCGCAATTACATCGCGAGTACATCGTACGTGCGATGCGTCACGTCGTAGATCGCGATGGATAATGCGGTGGCCCGGGCGAACTGCAACGCGGAGAAGCTTCAGGCGTCCGGCGAGGTGATGGGCGACCCGTTCGAGATATCGCGCATACGCAGGGAGGACTTTCGAACACATCGAGGACGCGCGGAGGGCGACGACGTCCTCCAGGCGCTGAACAAGCCGAGCTCGAAGACCCCGAGAGGCCACCAAGGCCCGGCCGCTTTTCTAATCAGAGCGTCTGGCTTGGACAAGGTATCATCGCATTCTTATCTTTCGCTATCATTCACTCAGTTATCGTAACATTATTTTTTTGCGTGTTCTTATCTTTATCGTATCGTATCGCTTTCATTTTATCCGCACGTTATCTTTATCATTACGTATCATTAGCTTCAATCTCTCTTTATCTCTTTATCTATGTTGTCATCGTTACTGTCAATTTTTTCGGGGAGGTGCGCGGGGCGTTTACGGGCACACCTATATACGGGCGATGTCTTCTAATGATTCGTGACTTTTAGCACGGGGTAGCGTCGGAGAAGCCGCTCAAGTACAGCCACTTGGACATAGCCGGTAGCGCCGGTGATTTACCGGATCACCCGACCGGCTCGCCGATCTTGACACTGGCCAAAACGTTCCTTATCGATAAGATCACGTCGGAGACGAAAGACGAGTGATTTCAAGGGCGACAAAGTTGCTCGATCGCAACGTTGTCTCTCGTATTTCTTCTACCTAGGACATCGTTATTTCTACGGAGCTTCTGGACGCGCGGTCACGACGCGCCGCTTTCGTGAGACACTGGCGCAGTCAGGCGCCGTGTCTCTCGACAACCTGTCGCGTCGCAAACTTGGTGCTTGGGAATTACGGATAAGAACTCGACGTCTAATGGAACTCTCGGGGCGAACGAACGAGGAAGCGCGCGCAACGAGCAACGAGCAACCCCGCCTATCAGGAGCGCGGGACTCTCAGCTTTCCAATGAGCCCTGATTCGCTCCTCTACGACCGGCAGAAGCGGAGAAATCGGCGATTTCGCGCTTCAAGCGGCGCGCGGCCGCTTATCGTTCGCCTGAAGCCGCCTGCAAGGGTCGGCCGGCGTTCGCTGTTTTGTTTACGCGCGTCAGATGTGCGAGCGTGGGTGGGGGAGCAAGTCCGCATTCCGGCGTGCCATCACGCGGCAGCGGCCCGCTTTTACTCCCACGCACTGTCAATCGGCCGTCGAGCCACGTGCTTGGCCGACGCACGCGGCCGTGCGGTCATTCACCCCCACTCGCGCACGAGCAGGACGCAACGCTGCCGCGATCAGTCCGCTTTGCACCAGCAAGCGGTGCGCGTTAGAGGGGGGTTGAAGCTCGTCGCTCAGGGGAGTGGCCTTGGCCGACGCCGAGCGGCCCGAAATTTCAAGAGCCCGTAACTCGCGAACGGATCGACGTAGAGGCATGAAACAAAAAGCAGTCTTCTTGGCGAGCGATTCTGTGTCGGCGTGTTACTCTTGTCCGATGTTGTCGTGGCACGCCTTTCTATGTTCTCGCGAGTTCCATTAGCAGGGCGAACGTGACGTGACTTGCGCCTCGGCTGGAATATATTTTGCGCGAGCCGCGCGTGCCGCACTTCGTGCAGTGCGGCTTAAACTTTTATAATTCTTGTTACATGGGTACGGCTATCGTGAACGCTATCTGCGAGAATAAAACTGGCTATTTCTCTCCAGAACCGTCCAGTGTCGAAATCCAGTTTGATCGAGCGATCGATAATTCCTCGTGAAACGGGGAGATCCCTGCGAGCGGTCAGCAATGTACCTTCTGCAATATTCTGCAGAATTTACGCTACGAATGTTCAATATTCGTGACAAAAAATTTGACATATCCAACGGGGAAGCGTGAATAACGGTTAATACCTCTCCATTCGTCCTCAGTTTTTCGGAAAGCGCGATCCGTATATTCTCATGTGTCAGACAGAGACACTCGTTTTCACATTATTATCGCATATCTGTCAAGATTACCAGTTACATGCACTCGACACTCTGTCCAACCAGGTACAATGAATCTTTTATGCGCGATCGACTTAACGCTAGTAGCGCGGAAAGGCGTTAATGGTGGATTAAGAAGCTTTTCCATTACAATGACGTCTAAAGACTCATTTAACCGCTTTCGCTCTTCCATTTGCCTTGCTCCCTCCCCGCTTCACTCTCTCTCTCTCTCTCTCTCTCTCTCTCTTCGTGTCTCCTCGTCACTTCCTTCCTCGCCTCCTCCATCCTCCCTTACCCCTTCCTCCCTGACCCGTTTCGTATCGATTGCAGCACGGAGTTTGCAGCCGTACTCCCTTGAAGTATACGCACGTCGACTTATTCGGCCACTTACCTCAGCCTCATCACGAGCTTTACCGCGGCAACCCCGTCCTAGCCATGTCCTACTGCTACCTGATCCAAGGCAAGTGCCTGACGCAGGATACGGAACGTAGGATACAGGACGCAGGCGACGTTGCTCGCGGGTCGCAGTACGTCTGCGAGTTCGACTGCAAACCGGTCTATGTGACATCCTGTCGGCCACGCGGAGAAGTATCCCCCAAACATCCTTGCGGAGAGGTACCCCCCGAGCGTCCTTGCGGAGCGCCTTGCCCGACATACGACGCATGCGAATCTTGTATCCTAGATGGGGGGTTGAACTTCTAGCAGCGTCAGGCACCTCAACCTTGTCCGGCGCCGCCATCGCCTTGCCGACAGTGAACCTGTTCACCGCCGCTGCCGCCTAATTCGGGGACAGCAAATTCGGGGAAGCCGTACGTCATGCGAGTGTCTGAAAGAAATGAAATAGAGGAGGGCTGGAAGAAGCAGATTGAAGGGTCGTGCCGCCTTGACATGTTGAGTTACGCAATTTGTATTCATGCGATTCGCGGGATTTACGAGTCGTTCTCTTGCACGACGACTCGTGTTAGTTTCGTCGTTGATTTGAAGCCGGTTTTTGCTGACGTTTCCTTCGATTTATTTGATTACGCCTGCGTCGTCCCTTTAGCGGACGTGTGTATTTCTGCGAATAAAAAGTAACCTCGTCCGGTAACGTACAACTTCGGTGTCTTTCTCGTTACATCTCTATCATCCACGTTGTATCTTCGAGTTGAAAATTCGAGCTCGAATCTTCGACGGACTAGGTACGAAATTATTCACGAGATACACGCATACCTGCGGTGCGTGAGCGTCGCACGAGTGCTAATTTATCGGTGGAGCAGTACAGGTGAGACAGGCCAGATATCGATTAAGTATAGACGATGTTGAAGAAAATATTTGGCTTCCAAAAAGCCGATTAAGAAATTATCTATTTTTCATAAACGATAAAATTTTGAAATCATCACTAACAAGTAATTAATTTCAATTCTGTCGGCAATGAATCTACTGACAGTTAATACAACATTAAAAAAATTTGTATATAAGACAAGAAAAAATCAAATTTTTAATAATAATGAAAGTAAATAAGAAGTGAAATTAAAATTTGACTAGACTCTAGATTTAATCGTATATAACTATTGTTATTATTATAACAATCATTTGAATTCGCTCATTTTTCACGATAGACTAAAGAATATCTAATTCCTCGTTGAATAGAACTACATGGAGAATAAAGCTCCACCGACAACCACATTGTTGAGTCTTATCACGAGTCTTATTACGACCTCAATTCCTCTATGTGTATGGTGGCGACCTATAGTGGAGATGCAGGAAACTAATTTGTACTAATGTTAGGCCTAATATTAAGAATCAATATTTCAGAGCCTTTGTTCTCGACATAACGAATGCAATAAAATCGGCCAAAGAGAAAATTAAATAAATCAGAAGTTTCCTAATTATAATGGTTATATTAGTTCTTCTATAATTATAATTGCTAAAGAGAATTTGCTCAATATTATCGAGGTCGGTAAATATTACCCGCAAAATAAACGTGTGACTCAAATTTCGATCAAACTCTGACAATTCGGTGTTCTGACTTTTAGCCGAAACTCGAATCATATTTATAATTCCCGGGAGAAATTTGGTACTGGAAATGATGATTTGAACCTCGACTAAGAATCAGTTTTAGCTGGAACTCAAACCGTAATTTAGGACATTGTTATCAAAGGATGGTTATCCCGGAAGAAAGAGCGCGTCATGTATTTAAATGATATCATCAGCGGAAAATTTGTCTGTCAATATCATTTCCACTGATTCTCACACACAAGCAAATCAATGTTCAGATAGAGCTATATTTTACTTTTTCCCGTCGACTATTTTTCCATTCGGAACTGTGTTTATTTGCAGCGTATATGCATATACGTGTGTGAACGATGGATATATTTTGCTCATACAATTGTGAACTTGCGTGTGTAAACTCACGGCGAACAGGAAGAATACAATCGTTAATTTGTCGCCATTTTATCACGTCAATTAGCTTCAAATGATCACTTTGAGATAACGGACGAATGCAAGCGTTAACTGAATTACATATTTCTGAAATCAATATTTTATATATCATGCCTAAGATATTTCAGACATTTTTCGGTTCAAGAAATGAGTAAAGATAGGAGTGACTGTGTTTTGATAACAAGAAGGGGTATAAATGATCTTCAAAGACCTCGGAGGAATTACATATTTTTTAGCCCATCGTGAAAAATGGACGAATTCAAATGGTTATTATAACAACGGTTATAATAACGATTATATACGATTATATACGATTAAATGGGTCTAGTCAGATTTTAATTTCTGTCTTAATTTCAAGTCTGATAATGTTACGAATCATAGAAGTAAGCGTTGACGCTTGAAATATTTTGTAGGTCAAGAAATTTGACAATTGTCAATCGCATTGTCTACATATATTATACCGTGTAGAGTCTCTCGGAGACTCTATATATGTTCTCTGGTAATTTAATTTCAAAAACGTTCAAAATCAGACAGATGTGAAAAAAATTAGTACCATAGTAAATTTTTTCCTCTTCAAATAAATCGCGTCGCGCCTCTGCAAACGTCGCCGGACGGAGAAGTTTCGTCGAATGTGGAGGTCGCTTTTAGTTTTACGTCATTACGTCACCATCGACGGGTGAATATGCATTCGACGGAGATCAACGAGTATGCTTTATAAGCTCGACCCGCGCAAAAGAATGCCGTGGAAAGGAAACTTAATTACTGCCACGTCCTTTCTTAATTAAGAGAAAATGTTTGGCGTATCTCGCGAAGATTACCGCGAGCGAGGCAAACTTACTTCCGTTTGCGTTACCAGCACGCTTGCTTTCTCACGATCGAAAGCCCGATCCGAAACTAATCCCGACGTCGTTTTACACGATCGCGTTCGTGTTACGCCGACAGCGTGCGCGCACACACGGGTGCTTTCGTAATCCGCTGTCTCTTATCAGTCTAAAAAAGAAGAGAAAAAAAAGGAGAGAGAGAGAGAGAGAGAGAGAGAGACTCCGCGCAGCGAACAATCACTCGGCCAAATTCGCGCAGCAACCTGTCGGCACCCGCGCCGGCACACCGTCGCAAAGTTAGCGAGTCGGCCAGCCGAGTCGGCGAACTGAGGAGCCGGTATCGCTCGCATTATTTACGTTTCGTGTCGTTGAACCTGAGTATCGATCATCGGGCGCTGGTACACGCGAAGGCGCACCGTCGTAGTCGAAGTCAGCACGCGAAAACGCGTCACCCGCGAGGAGACGACAGCTCGCAGGATAAGACAAGAAGGGGGAGGTGGGGACAGGGACGGGGGATAGCACATAGCTCACGGGCAGTAAACACAGTGGCAGGAGGCGGCGGCATTATCAGCGCGGCCGGTATCCGCGAGTTGACATTGTTTGAAGAACTTGAAGGTAACGCGAGTCGCCGGTTGCGAGAAGCGCGACGTGAGGTTCGCAAGAAGGTAATACTCACACATACACGCGTACACACGCATGCATACACACATGCATACACACACGCAGACGCGCGCACACACGTGCACATACACACAGACTGGGGGGACGGGAGGGACGAAGGGCGTAGAGGGGTGAAGGAAGAGAGTGAGAGAGGAGGGGACGGTAGGGGGCAGTGTGGCGGGTTCGACGGCCGGCTGGTGCCCCAGTGACCGGGACCGGTTCCCTCCGCGGTTCCTCCTTCCGCCTTCCTTGCAAACGCACAACTGCATCATCTCGGCTCACCTCGCTTCGTCCTCCCCTCAACCTTCGTCCCTCTCTCGGTTACTCTTTCTCACTGTCTCTCTCTCTCTCTCTCTCTCTCTCTCTCTCTCTCTCTCTCTCTCTCTCTCTCTCCCCCTCTCTCCCCCTCTCCCTCTCCCTCTCCCTCCCTCCCTCCCACCTCCCTCCTTATCACTCTATCTCTATCATTCTCTCCCTGTCCTGAGCCCCCCGAGTCCGTCTTTCTCCTCTCTCTGCCTGCCAACTCTCCACTCACCTCCTCGATCCGACCCGGTGCGCGCCTTCGCGCGCTCGCTCCTCTCTCGTCTCCTCTCGTTCGTTCGTTCGTTCGTTCGTTCGTTCGTTCGTTCGCTCGTTCGTTCCTTCGTTCGTTCGTTCGTTCGTTCGTACGTTCGGTCGACCGACCGGCCGCTTCTCTCTCTTCGCCGTCATCCGCGCTCGTCTTCTCTCCTCTTTCGCACGAAAGCGTTGCCACACGCGCGAAACGGCTCACCGCTTCTCTCCTTCTCTCTTCGCGTCCTTCTTCGCTTCCCTCCGCCGCGACGCGATGCGATGCGATGTGATGCGATGCTCTCGCTTGCACCATTATGCCACTCGCGCGTTCAACAGCAGTTATCCCATTCTATCTTTCCCTTCTTTTCTCTCTCACCTTCTCTTCCCCCCCCCCTCTCATATTCTCTCTCTCTCTCTCTCTCTCTCTCGCGCTCACCTCGCAAAGCAGAGGTCACATGACGCGTATTCGCTTCTTCATTCTTCCTCCTCGCCCTCCTCGCCGCCCCTACGTCAGCCGACTGCCTCGCCGCCGTCGTCTCTCGTTCTCTTCTTTTTCTTCGTGCCGCGTAGTTCGTTCAATGATCGGGCTGGCGATACCTACGGGTGGACACGCAACTATTTATCCCACGCGACGACGTGGGCAGTCCGCGGGTACAGGAATGACGGCACGGCCAGAAGATGAACGAACGGACAGCAGTTCCGAATGGAAGCCGAGAGAGGTGCTATCATGCGCCGGTCAACGAAGGGGGATCTTTAAATTCAGGATGGGCCTGGTCGGACACCTCCAGTCAAGGACTTGAAAGGAAAAGTAGTTCTATGTAGAGGAAAGAGAAGGAGGAAGTGAAACGAACGAAGAGTGAAGGAGAGTGTGAGGGAAAGAGAGAGACAGAGAGACAGAGAGAGAGAGAGAGAGAGAGAGAGAGAGAGAGAGAGAGAGAGAGAGAGAGAGAGAGAGAAGGAGAGAAAGGGAGAGCGAGGAGGAGCCGGAGGGAGAGATCGCGGGAGAAAGAGGAAGAGACGGAGAAAGAGGAGGAGCTGAGGGGGAAGGAAGTGAAAGTACGACGAGGCCAGTGTTACCGGCGCATCCGAGATTTCGTGCTACTGTCTTTCTTCCGTCTTCCTCGTCTTCCTTTTCGTTGCAGCTCTCCCTCCCGCCACCTCCGCCGCCGTCGCCACTTCTCTTCCCTGTTTGCGTTCACACCTACGCTTTAAGAGAGCTCGCCGATAGTTTGTAGATTCGCACGTAACGAGGCGCGCGCGAGGGAGCGAGCGCGGAAGGCCGCGCCGCGGAGAACGGAGGTAAGCGGCTGTTACGTTCGCGGAAGGAAAGTGATTTTCCCAAGGGCGCACTGACCCCCCTCGGTCGCGTCTCTCCCGAAAGCGCGAGCTCAGCCGAAAGCCAACGACGGCGTGGATGTCGCGACGCGACGGCCATGCTCGCTCGCGCCATTCTCGCCAACGTCGCGTCAGCGTCGGCTGAAACGCGGGGTGTGCGTGAGCGCCTCCGTCTCATTTGCGAGACGGACACCGCGTATAATTAGATAAGCCGTCTATAATTAGATACGCGTGTCCACGTTCTAATTCCGCGGTCGCCGACGTCCACGCCGCCGTTTATGATTAATTGCGGGCCGCGCGCGGCGCGCGGTGAAAGATAATACAGCGCGCGTCGGGGCGCGTCTTCTTTTTATTGCCGTCGCGATTAACCGTACCGATCTGCCGGCGATACCGTCGCTCGCTCGCTCGCTCGCTCGCTCGCTCGCTCGCTCACGCTCCCGTCTCCCGATATCCCGTTCCTTTGGCCTGCTTCCACGAACGAAAAAGGTAATCGAAGACCGCGTACGGGGCGAGACCGCGGC